ATTTTTCCCCTCCCTCCCTGCTCCCCCTTCCCCCATGAACACTTGATAATTTATAAATTATTATTTTGTCATATCTTACACCATCTGACCTTTCCCTTCACCCACTTCTCCGCTGTCTGTTCCCCCTTTCTCTCATCTTCCCTACACCCTCCCTGTATTGCCACTCCCACCACTGGTTCTGAGGTGCTCATCTACCCTGGATTCCCTGCGTTTCCAGTTCCTATCTGTACCACTGTACATCCTCCGGTCCAGCCGGATTTGTAAGGTAGAATTGGGATCATGATAGTGGTGGGGGAGGAAGCATTCAAGAACTAGAGGAAAATAGTCTGTTTCATCATTGCTACACTGCACCCTGACTGGCTCGTCTCCTCCCACGGCCCTTCTGCAAGGGGATGTCCAATTTCCCACAGATGGGTCCTGGATCCCAACTCCGCACTCCCCGTCATTCACATGCTATGATTATTTTTTTTGTCTTTGATGCCTGATACCTGATCCCTTCGACAAATTGTGATCTCATAGGCTAGTGTGCTTTTTCCATGTGGGCTTTGTTGTTTCTCAGTTAGATGGCCACTTGTTTATCTTCCAGCCTATAGGATAGACTGGTGTGCTGCTTCCATGTGGGTTTTGTTGTTTCTCAGCTAGATGGCTGCTTGTTTACCTTCAAACCTTTAAGACCTCTGATGCCTTATCTTTTGATAGCTGGGCACCATCAGCTTTCTTTGCCACATTTGCTGTGCACCCATTGTCTTCAGTGATTGTGCCAGGAGGGTGAACATCTCATACTGCCAAATTGTTAGAACAAAGTGTTCTTGTGTTGAGGGAGTACTTGAGTAGGAGCCCACTGTCCATCTGTTTCCTTAATACTAAACCTATAACTATATGCACATAGATCTAATTCCCCCTCATCATATATAAATATATTTATATCTGTATATGTCTGTACTTAGATCTCTATAACTTCCCTTTGCCTCCTAGTTCTTTCCTCTATTTCTTTGTACTTTCCTCTTGTCCCACTATCATGTTCACCCCTCATTTGGGTTTAAGGAATTCCTCTCGGTTACATTGCCCTTGATCCAGCCCTGCCAGACCTCTTACACACCCTCCTTGCCACTGATTTTGGATTTTGGATCACTTGTTGTTCCCTTGTCCTTGGGTTTGTTAACACCCACTTCCTTTCCCCTTTCCCATGCCCCACCCCCCACCCCCCAACTGTCATCCCCTTCTCTCTTCCTTCTTGTTTATCCTGCCTATCCCTTCCAGGTAGCCATGCAGATGAAGCTTTTTTCCAAACTCTTTTTCTCTGTGGCTTCCTATGCTCTTCCAAAAGGCTTTCAGTTAATTTCACCTTTAGCTTTTTCTCCCCAGTATACACCCACTCTCTTCTTTAATCCTTTTTCCTAACTTCGTTGTTTTCCCATTTCTGCCTATTCATGTTCTTCACTTGTTCTCTCACCATTTTAACATTCCATATTTACAACAATAGAAAGAATTTTGTCTATTTTGAACATAAATAGATTGTGTCTGGCAGTAACAACTGTTGTGATGGTTAAGATTGTGTCACCTTTGCTGAACTATGATTTTCTGTTTGTAGCAGTTAATGTAATGATGAATTTACCCTTCATTTTGTAATCTGACGTGGTCATCTTCCGTTTTAGCATTAGGTCTGTTTCTCAGTAAAAACCTAGTCTTTGGAATGCTAACCATGGTAGTGTGAGTGTACAAAGTGTTTCCCATGTAGCCACTATTTCTTAGCTTCTGTTTGAGCCATTTTTTTCTTGGTAATAACCCTTCTGTCCTGAAAACACAATTCATAAATTCTTTTTAAAATATAAATTCTTATATAAATTTAGACATAATGAATAAGCATTATCAACCTCTAAATCCTTCAAAAGTCTCTGGAAGAGTTCTCACAATCTACCCAATGTTAGCCAACTTCTTCAATTGAGCCTTCTTTTGTCCCCTGTGGGTTCCATATTTAAGACAAATAAAAGCTCATTTAAAAAAAAAAGAAAGTAGAAGATCATCTTGTCAGCTTTCATTTTGTTTAATTATTGGTGTGACAATCTTGTTTTCTGTTTCCCATTGACGCATGTTTAGTATTTGAACCACATAAGTTTAGTTGGCTTTTAGATAGCTGACTTGTAAACTTCATCACCAGTCTAAGATTGTTGCCAAAGGAAAAGGTTTTGAGTTCAGAGCAAATAATTAGTAAAATGACTTTTTTTTTTTGGCTAATATAATAGATTTGCTATTTGGAGGGTTTCCTTGTTGGTATAATAGCCTCTTACTGTCTAGAACCATCTTTGATTTGGACTTTATAAATGTTTTTATTAGTGTTTGTTTTAATTTTACAGAACAGAGAACAACACAACAAGGTCAGGTGTATTTCTTGCATACTCAGACTGGTGTGAGCACGTGGCATGATCCAAGAGTGCCTAGGTAAGCGCATGTTTTAAGTGTTCCTCATAACCTTTTGAATATCCATTTACTTAGGACTTTGATTATTGAATCTTTAACTTCTAAGAATACTATTAGGTGTTGTCGAGCTAGCTCCAGTTCACCACAACCCCGTGTGCAGCAGAAGGAGACACCACCAGGTTTGTGCTATCCTAACAGTAGTTGCTGGTAGATCCCATTGTTGCAGGCATTGTGTCAGACCATCTCCCTGGTGGTTCTTCCTCTTTTTTACGTACCCTCTACTAAGCATGATGTCCTTTTCCAGGAACTGGTTTCTCCTGATAGAATTCCAAAGTATCTGAGACAGTCTCAACACCCTCACTTATAAGGAGCATTCTGGCTATACTTTGTCCAGATGTGTTTGGTCTTTGGCAGTCCATGATACTTTCAGTAGTTTTCACTGCCACTGTAATTCAAATGTATGATTATTTAGTGATTGCTATATTCATTGTCCAACTTTCACATAAATAGATGATTGAAAATACTTTGGTGAAGGGACAAGCCAGCCAGGGTGCAATGCAGTATAGCACCAATGAAACATACAACATTCCTTTAGTTCTTTAATGCTCCCCCCTCCCCCATCATGACCCCAGTTCTACCTTACAAATCTGCCTAGACCTAGCATGTACACTGGTACAGATAAGAGCTCTCAACACACAGGATCTAGGACAGATAAACCCCTCAGGAACAATAATGGGAGTAGTGATACCCTGAGGGGAGGGGAAGGTATGGGGAGAAAGGGAGAACTGATTACAATGATCGATGTATTAACCGCCCCCCCCTGCCCCCCATGGAGACGAACAACAGAAAATGGGGTAAAGGGAGATAGTATAAAGCAGTGGTTCTCAACCTTCCTATGCCGTGACCCTTTAATACAGTTCCTCATGTTGTGGTGACCCCCAAGCCATAAAATTGTTTTAGTTGCTACTTCATAACTGTAATTTTGCTACTGTTATGAATCGGGAAACCCCTGTGAAAGGGTCGTTTGACCCCACCAAAGGGGTCGTGACCCACAGGTTGAGAACCACTGGTGTAAAGGGAGATGGTGGATGGTATAAGATACGAAAATAAAAAATAAAAGATACGAAAATAATTAGCATTTATCAAGGGTTCATGAGGGTGAGAGGGTAGGGGAAGAAGGGAAAAAAGAGGAGCAGATAGCAAGGGCTCAAGCAGAAAGAAAATGTTCTGAAAATGATGATAGCAATATATGTACAAATGTGCTTGATGTATCAAGCCTCCAATAAAATTATTTATTGAAAAAAGAAAATACCTAGGTTTGGATCAGGCACACCTTAGTTCTCAAAGTGACCTTGTTGAAAGAGGTCTCCTGCAGCAGATTTGTACAACAGTACATTATTTGATTTCTTAGCTGCTGCTTCCATAAGCATTGATTGTAGATTCAAGTAAAATGGAATCTTTGGCATCTTCAGTCTTATCTCTATCGTGATGCTTGTTGGTCTAGTTAAATTTCTAAAAATAGCTTATGTAAAAATTCAACTCTTTCTGACAATTATTTTAGTTTGATATTTATTAGAATTTCTTTCATATTCTGCACTTCTCCCCCTAAGTGCATTACCCCTTTCACTGAAAGCCCCTTTCTTTTACTCCCCACTAAGAAGAGTAGAGGCACATCGTCTAGGAGTTTGAAAATTGACTTGGGGTAAAAACATAGCTTGATATTTCTGAAAGACATTTTGAAAAAGTTTCATTTTAAACTAATTTAAGTGTATTCCTTGTTCTTTGATACCTTCCTTAACACAGCTTCATTTGAATGTAGAAAGGAAAATCCCAAACCCACTGCTATGGAGTCAATTCTGACTCTCAGCGGATCCCATAGGAACCCCCGTAGGTTCGGGAGATTCTGTTTATGAGTAGAAAGCTGCATCTTTCTCTCATAGAGAGGTGATTCAAACTGCTGACCTTGTAATTAGCCCAATGCTTACCCACATGCCACCAGAACTCATTTAATTTTACCTAACATACTAACAGTGATTATGGCCTATCACTACTTAACAGTGTAGCAGTAAGCTGGGAGTATTCTTCCTTGGGAATCTTGAACAGCGTCTTCATTTGTTAGCTTTTTGGATTCTGAAATTTCAAATGGAGCAGTTATCCTTTAAAAACTGCTTGTTTTCAGGTTTACAATTTCACAAGCATTTCAGTTTTTCTTGTTGGAGAGTTTATCTCTACTTTTATTTACAGATAATCATTGTGGGCATGTATTTACACAAAGAAATAATTGAAGGGAGCTTTTAGAAAACATGCCATTCCTTATATCACTGATCCTTGTTAAACAATATTTTCTGTCAGAGCAAGTATTGAAGTACAACTTGAATGTTGGCAAAGGTTCTGGTGGCTTTTATGCTCATTTCAAACTGTACTTCTCACATCCCAGGAACTTCATTTACTAAAAATGTAGGTTATGTGATGTTTTTCTGAGTCATTTATGGATTGGGTTTTGAATATGTGTGTTTGTTAAGCCACTGGGAATTAAGGATTCCAGCTGAACATTTCAAGTTTCTGAAACAATACGTTTTCTCAGACTCTATGGGCTTGTTGTGTGTCATTTGCAATGACTTAGCCCAGCAGGCCCAGCAATGAGGTGTTTCTTATTTTCTATTTGTTTTTGCAGAGATCTTAGCAACATCAATTGTGAGGAGCTTGGTCCGCTGCCTCCTGGATGGGAGATCCGTAATACTGCAACAGGCAGAGTTTATTTCGTTGACCATAACAACAGAACAACACAGTTTACAGATCCTCGGCTCTCTGCTAACTTGCATTTAGTTTTAAAGTAAGTTTTAAAAGCAATATACATTAAAATGTGAATGTGAATACCAGGAGACTATGCTTGCTTTTTGTAATTTAATATGATAGAATGCTTTTTCTCTTCAATACATTACTTTGTTGAGTAGAGAGTTTGTTTTGTTTTTAAATCATTTTAACCATTTTTGAGGGTATAATTCAGTGGCATTAAGAGTACATTCCATAATGTTGTGTAACCATCACTCGTATTTCCAGATCTTTTTAACATCCCAAGCAGAAACATGACACTCATTAAACACTAACTGCCTTCTATCCTCTTCTCCCAGCTCCTTTGGTCTATTTTCTTAGGAATTTGCCTATTCTAGGTAGCTCATACGTACGTGGCATTATGCAATATTTGTTCTTTTGTTTCTTGACATATTTCATGATGTATGATGTCTTTAAAGTACATCCATCTCATAGCATGTATCAACATTTTGTTTCTCTTTATGGCTGTGTGGCTTTCCATTAAATGTGTGGATGAGCCACATTTAATTTATCCATTGAAGGACACTTAGGTCATTTCCGCCTTTTGGCTATGTAGAATAATGCTGCTTTGAACATTGGTGTACGTACATGTATTTGAGACCCTGCTTTTAAGTCTCAAGTGCTTTTAAGTCCCAAGAGTGGAATTATTGGGTGATGGAGAATTCATTCTATTTTAACTTAGGGACCACTAAGCAATTTTCCCTATTGTCTGTACCATTTACATTCCAACCAGTAGGAGTGGAGTAGCTGCTTTATACAATAGGTTTATATGTAACTTTTTAAGAAATTGCCAGGCTGTATTTCAAAGTGAGTATACCATTTCACATTCTTATCATTGTATGAGCGTTTCAGTTGCACCCCATCCTCAAAAACACTTAATATGGTTAATCTTACTAATTCTATGAGGTGTTACAGTGATAGTTCACTGAGGTTTAAATTTGCATTTCCCTAGTGACTAAATGATGCTCAGCATCTCTTAGTGTGTTTGCAAATCTTTTGTCTTTATTTTTTTTAGTTTAAAGATTTCCTTAGATATTCTGGATACAAAACCTTTATCAGATTATAAGAGTATGCCTTGCAAACATTTTTCCCAGTCTGGAGCTCTTCTCCCCCGCGCTTATAACAGTGTATTTTGAAGAGGATATTTTGATAAATCTTAATGAATCTACCTTTTCTTTTCTGAATTGTCTATTTGGTGTCATATCCAAAAAATCGTCCTCCAGCCCAGGCCATAACATTTTTCTGTGTTTGCATGTTCCAGAGTTTTAAGTTACATTGAAGTCTGTGGTTCATTTTTGTATTTGGTGTGAAACAGCCAAATTCACAATTTTCAAAGGCTTATCTATTTATTGTTTTTTTATATAATTGTATGATTTTAATTGGGGATAATTTTTTCGTAACTCTTTTCTACTATAATGTTTGTAAGAGTTGTTAATAGTATGTTAACTTGACCTGAGAGGTAAAAATAAGTTCCAAATGATTTGCTATTGAAATGAGTTATTTTTGTATATTTTATCATAACTTGCCTTTACTCTTTTACTTTTAAGTTAGGAGATGATGATTTTGTCTGTTGTGTGTAAAATTAATCTTAAACTCTAATAAATACAACTTTCCTAATCTTGACAGCTTGTTGGAATTACCTAGCTCATTTCATTTAAAAAAATCCTCTTATAAAAGAAAATTCTTAGATGCATCTTATAGTATTTTATGCCTGGAGAATAAAAATATATCTGGGCAAGTGTATCCTAAAATTTGTTACATGTCTTTTTAAAAAATCAATATTAAACTTATTCATTAAGATTTTGTTATTTCTAGCATGCTTGGGAGAGTATCTTCATGTATTTGTAGAGCAGAGTCTAGATTACAAGGGTAGTGTGTGACATGTGCTTCACGTGAGTGAACCAAATTGTGAAAAGAAAAATACTAACTGAGAAATTTGTTCTCAACAGCTATATCCAACTTTATGGATAATAATCCTTTATGTAATGACATAAATTCATATGTAATAAAAGAAGCTTTGGAACTGGTTTATTATTGCTGAAAAAGTCAAGCCAATCATCCTAGTGAGGCTTGAGAAATGGTATAACCAGAATTGTATCGTAAACCCACTACCATCTAGGTGATTTTAGCTTGTAACCACCATACAGGACAGACTACAGCTCCCCATCCTTTCTAGGGCTGCAAATGCGTACTGGCAATAGACAGCCTCATCTCCCCTGGAGCAGCTGGTGGTTTTGAACCCCTCCCTCCAACCTTTATGTTAGCAGCTCAAAGAGGAACTTCTAGAACCACCAGGGCTCCTCTCTTCTATAGTATGTGAGTTTAAAATACACAGTTGAGGTCCTGTGTATTTAAAAGGCTTAATTAATACCCGTTTTGCTTCTAGTCGTCAGAACCAGTTGAAGGACCAGCAGCAGCAGCAGGTGGTATCAGTGTGCCCTGACGACACGGAGTGTCTGACAGTCCCGAGGTACAAGAGAGACCTGGTTCAGAAACTTAAAATTTTGCGCCAAGAGCTTTCCCAGCAACAGCCTCAGGCAGGCCACTGCCGCATTGAGGTGTCCAGGGAGGAAATTTTTGAGGTAAACAGAGAGGTTTTATCTTAAAATGGAGTGGGGGGGGGGGGGGGGAAACTCTCTTTCCCAAGAATGCTTTTTATATTTTTTGAGGGTCATATCCGTTTTGTGTGAGGAGGTTCTCATTCATTCTTTTATTGGGAAGAATAAAGGCAGTAACATTAAGGAGAGATTAACCTATTTGGTAAACGTTGGAATGGGTTGAAGAGTGAGATGTTCTGAGTGGTTCAGCTTGGTCTCTGCATTGTACATGCTTATTTGTTCTTAAAACTGCAAATATTATCCATCCTTTATTTTCTAATTCTTCCAAAGAGTTAAAATAAACAAACCAATCCAAAATAATGATAGCAACATATGTATAAATGTGTTTGATACATCTGATGTATGGATTACTATAAGAGCTGTAAGAGCCCCCAATAAAATGATTTATTAATTAAAAAAAGAACACCCCAAAATAAGCTCAATGCCATTGAGTTGACGCTGACTCTGTGACTCTGTAGGACAGAGTAGAACTGTCCCTGTGGATTTTCAAGACTGGATCTTCACGGGGGCAGAAAGCCTCGTTTTCTCCTCTGGCGTGGCTGGTGGATTTGATGACCTTGTGGTTAGCAGCCTCATAACCCACTTATCCCAGAGGGAAGGGACTCTTAAATCAGGAAATTATTTAACTATTATAGATAGCTTACTTCCTTAATTTACTGAAAAATTCACTCTCAATGCCTTTTTCTTTGAATTCCTGCCCTACTGCCAGCTTCAGTGTTCTTACATATGCAGACGTCAAGGGCAGGGGCATTTCCACTTATTTGGGCAAAAGATGTTTGTGGGCACAGCAATCCTAAGAGATGAACTTTTTTTACTGCGAAGACTTCTGACTTTGTATTCTAAAATAAGTTTAATCTTAATGAAGATTCACATTAATGGTTGTGCTCTCTTGAAACTTCTCTCTTTTATCTTTATTTTCTGTTGGTACCTCTGGCTTAGAATTAGGTAAACATTTTTTAAATCTGCTTTTTTCTCCCAAATTGTATTTTGCCTTTAATATGATGGGGCTTCCAAAAGTTCATGGAGGAATGGAAGTAAAAGATAGTGGAATTTTTAATCAATTTTTTGAAGCCCCTTGTATGTGAGTGGATCCATTACTAAGGAGTTCCACTGATAGTTGGCCTTCAACATGATATTTCAGTAGCATTACATTCTATCCCTTTTATTTTCAAAAGTTCCATGAAGTTTTAAAACATTTGAAATTTATCCATTGATTTGATTGTTAAAAAAATTTCACTTTATTTAAATATACATGTTTTGTGGATTGAATGGGGGGGGGGAGTTTAAATAATAGGTTAAAAACACCTGATAACAATAGGATTTTTAATTTTTTTCAGGAATCATATCGACAGGTCATGAAAATGCGTCCAAAAGACCTGTGGAAGCGATTAATGATAAAATTTCGTGGAGAAGAAGGCCTTGACTATGGAGGGGTTGCCAGGTAAAGACTTGCTTATCAGTCAGTGAAATGTAGAACCTTACATAGATTTAAGATACTTCTGCAGTTTAGCTTTTTTGTCAATATTTATGTTTTAATATATTTCCAAATGTTTGCAATTATAGAGGATAACCTAATAGTAACACTCAGGATGTGGTTAGGTTACTACTGATATCAGGAAAATATTTTAGAATTTCTTAATGGATTGATTATATAGTAGAACCCCGGACCTTGACGCTAATTCATTCTAAAAGGAGCGAAGAGACGTGATGCAGTCGAGTTTTGAATCAATTTTTCCCATAAGAAATAACTGAAAATTGACTAATCCGTTCTCGACCACCAAGTTTTTACCCTAACTCTGCCTTTTTATACAAAATATTACATAGAAATTTCACAGTACAGTAAATACGTTCAGAGTTAAATAATATAATTTAAGTAAGAAACACAATATTTAAAAAAGTTTTTAACAACTACAGTATGGCCCATACCTGGAGAGTGATGAGGATCTGGATCTGTGGACACAGACGTGGAGAGGAGATACGGGAGAGACTCATTGTTTGGAAGGGGAATCCCCTTCCATAAAAATCAACTGGTAGCTGCTTTTCAGGAGTTTTTTCCCTTCTCTGCCTTTTTCACTAGGACCTGGCTGGCTTTCTCTTAAAAAAAAAAAAAATCTGTCTAATGTGGTCTGCTATTGGCATTTCCTTAATTGTTGTCTAAAAGGATTTACTAAATTATCATCTATAATATCGGTAACATAGTTAACCAGTTCCTTGTCATGATGATTCTTTTCAAAAAACTCTCTTAGGACCCATGTTTTTTTATCTAGAAACAGTACAACAAGCCACAAAAATTAAGAAAATTATAGCAAAACGCGCAGAACACAGTTGCAAAAGGTTTAAACAACATGTACTAACAATGCCAACTAATGCTGAGTGACCGAAACAGGAACTGCTTTTGTTTACAAGAATCACATGCATCGGGTCGGATTCCAATGTTTTGTTCGAGCTCCTATGCAAAATTGATGGCACATCTTAAAATATATTTATTAACAAAACATATTTTGTTATGTCTTGTTTTCTAGGGAATGGTTGTATCTCTTATCTCATGAAATGTTGAATCCATACTATGGCCTTTTCCAGTATTCAAGGGATGATATCTATACGTTACAGATTAATCCTGATTCTGCTGTTAACCCGGTATGGATTTTTAGTGATATTGATAAGGATAGTTTATTGTATAGACGTTGCTTATCTTGTCCTAATTATACCCTTTGACTCAGTAATTCTTAAAGAACATTTCCCCAAGTCAATGATTATGGATCTGTGCAGCGATTTGGGCTCAGCTGTGTTCATTGCATCATTGTAGTAATAACCCCAATTGGAAACAATATAGTTGTCCACAGAGGGGGATTACCTGTGACATAAAGCAGAATAACGTATGAGGGGATTTCAGAAAATTTCCTAGAAAAATAGAATGAAACAATAATGGAGTTTTCCCACGAGCTTCTTGAAGCCCCCTTCTACATTGTTGAAGGAGTGCTGGTGGTGCTGTGGGCTAGCATTGAGCTGCTAAGTGCAGGTTTGTAATTCAAACTCCACTGCTGCTCCAGGAGAGAAAGGTGAGGCTGTCTGTTCCTGCGAAGGTTTACAGTCTTGGAAACCTTATGTAGAGTTGCTGTGCATGGGAATCGACTGGATGGCGGTGGGTTTTTTTCTTTCTTTTCTTTTAATCTATGGTTAAGAGCATTGATTTTGAAATTAAAGACATGGGATCATATCTTGGTCCCACCGATACTAGCTTTGTGACCTTGGGCAAATTCATTGGCTTAGTCTCAATTTTGTCACTGCTAACGATGAGAAATATACTATATAACAAATGTATTGGCATTAACCTATGCATTTTTACATTACAGTTAGTATAGTTTGTACCTTAGAGAGGAGTTGTGAGAATTACATACGACTATGTACAGCATATGTACAGTTCTGGTACAATATTAAGCACCCAGCAAAGTTAGCAGCTATTGATGACTATTATTGTTAAATTATTTCTCTGATCTTTCGATATGGCATATACTATACAACCACTAAAAAATTGTGAAATAACAGCATTGGTGATTATGATGTTAAGTGAAACAAGATTATAAAACAGAATAATACAATTTGATATTTAGATGTATAAATCTTGAAAGATTCCACACCATACTGTTGAAAGTGATTATCTCAGAAAATTAGATTTGCCTATATTTTCTGAATATTTTGTGATGCCTAGATATTACTTTTTTAAAAAGGAATCTTTAAAATGAAAAGGAATGTAATAAGATTTTATTAAAAGATAAAAGGGAGGGATTTAAAGATAAAGCTTAAGGGTTTTTCATTAAATAGAAGAATTAAAAAATACAAATAACAATACAACCTATAAGGAAAAAACAAATATATCTGAACATTGTAGAAACGCTTAAATCATTATAGGGAATTCTTTATAAAGGAGTGATATTTAGGTAATGGGTCTGCCTGAGGACCCATCCTAACCCTGCCAGTAGTGAACAGCTCACAGTTGAGTGCTTGATATGCTGGTGGGCCTCATCTCATTTTAATCCTTATGGAAAGACCCTTTCATTCCTGACAGAGGTACTCTTACTTAGTCCCATTTTTCCAGATATGGAAAATTAGGCCTCTTGGGGTTAAGTAATTTGCCCAAGAATACGTAACGATTTAGGGCTAATTTGGGATTCTAATCCAAGACTGTCACCAAATCTCAACTCTTCAGTATACTGTATAGTGTTTTGAGATTCGTGTATAATGTTTTGAGGTTCAACTACCTGGGTGGTGTAGTGGTTACAAGTTGGGTGGCTAACAAGGTCATTAGTTCAAAGCCATCCTTTGGGAGAAAGATGGGGCTTTCGTTCCTGCAAAAAGTAGCAGGCTCAGAAACTCACAGGAGCAGCTCTTCCCTACCCTGTAGGGTTGCTATGAGTTGACATAGACTCAATGGCAATGAGTTTGTTTTTTTTGGTTAGTAAAAGAAGCGGGAAATGGGTTTTTTAAAGTACTGGTTCTAAAAGACCCAGTCAGTAGGAGTGAACTGAGAGAAAGAGAACAGGTCTCTGAGTGTTATGATGAAGCTGCATCTGTAGTATAGTAAGGACTTAGTATCTAAATTGAACAAAGTGCTTTCTGCCCTTTGAGAGGGGCTTTGACCCTTATGTAATACATTATTTTATATAGATATAAAGACTTTTGAGCTTGTGTTGTAAAAACACTTCCTAATCTTCCGTGAGCATTATGATAACATATTCCATTTAATTAGTTGGGCATCACTGTATAATTTTGATATCTGCCCCAAAATATGTGTGTTTAAATATTTACTTTTTGTTAAAAGTTCCCTAGGTACTTTGTAACTTGAATATTTCTGTAAACATTTTTTAATTCCAGGAGCATTTATCCTATTTCCACTTCGTCGGCCGGATCATGGGAATGGCTGTGTTTCATGGACATTACATTGATGGTGGCTTCACCTTGCCTTTTTACAAACAGTTGCTTGGGAAGTCGATTACTTTGGATGACATGGAGTTAGTTGATCCAGATCTTCATAACAGTTTAGTGTGGATACTGTATGTATTGAATCCTGTATCCATTTTATTAGAATTTCTGATTTTAAGAAAGATACTTGGTATACAAAGTAGATGTGCATTTTTATTTTGAAAACTGTGCATAGACAATAATATTAGGAGTGGTTGTAAGTTAGTATTATTACTTTTAAAAGGAAACCATCTAGTGTACTCTATTAGAGATCCTTTCGTCTGTGTGATGCAGGGTCTATTCACCCTTGGACATAAGAGAATCAGGAATTCCTGCTGCCATTGCCTTTCATGAAGTGGTGATCTTGAAACCAGGCTTTTTAAAAAGAGTGTCTGTAAAAACGTAAGGAGTTCTAGTGGCTTAGTGGGTCATGCACTGGACCTGCGGTTGGAAACCAGGTGCCCTGAGGGAGAAAGGTGGGGCTCTTACTCAAGGAAAAAGCCAGTTTCAGAAGTCCCCAAGGCAGTTTTTTCTCTGTCCTACAGGGAGACTATGGGTCAGAGTTTGAGATCTGTAAGAACTGGCTGTTGGGGAACTGATGAAGATAACACGGGTGATGCTTACTGTTACAGACTCCACAAGTAGCTTTCTCCCTGGGGATGCTCAGCTCTTTGGTCCCTCGGAGGCACACGCAGACACTCACACAGGACATCGCCCACACGAGCACCACAGGGGGAATTCTCCTGTCTTGGTGGGCCTAACACAGCCTGCCTGTGCTCTTCCTCATCATTCAGGACGTGAAGTATGCCCAGTATTTCTGGAAGTTAAAGCCGTTCAACTTTTCTGCCCAAGAACCAAGTGGTTTGGGTGAATAATAACAGGATTCTGCCTTATATTTGTAATGTCACAAAGTAGTTTATCTCTCAACAGTTCATGCATCAACAGAATCTGCATCTTAGGTTTCCCAGCTAAGCAACTTTTTTTTCCCCCCTTAGTGAGAATGATATTACAGGTGTCTTGGACCATACCTTTTGTGTTGAACATAATGCATATGGTGAAATTATTCAACATGAACTTAAACCAAATGGCAAAAGTATCCCAGTAACTGAAGAAAACAAAAAAGAATATGTCAGGTAGGCACTTCTGTGTTCTCAAAACTGGGGATTTAATTATTGAACAGCTTGGTGTTTAGGCAGTGTTACTCATTGCTACAAAATGGGCTATAAAGAATGTAGTGGCTTAAACAATTATTTTACTGTTTCTCACACTGTAAGAGGTCAGTACTGTGGGATAGCACATCATTACTCAGATGCTGTCTGCTGGGACTGAATTGTCACGGTGGTCTCTGCTCGTATCTCATGGCTCAAATGGGGTCACTGTTAGGGCTTTAGTTTTTACTGTGGGCTGGGTTCTGCTTATATGGGGGCAGGGCCTGCTTCCTTTCCTCAAAGCCCCTCCCTCCCCAGATGAGAAGCATACTTCTCAGAGCACAAAAGCTAGCAAATCTTCCTAAGGCCTAAACCTGTGTGACAAGAGCCTGTCAGCAGGCCAGCGACAGTTTGGCTGCTACAGGGAGCTACACAGAGCACTGCTGTGCTCTATGACATGGCTCCTTTACGTGGGTTATTGGCTCCAAATAAGCCTAGAAATAAATCTCATCAGGGTTTTTACTGATGAAAACATTTTATCATCTAATGCATGCACCATATAGATCTTGACCTTATAACTCTATATAGGTAATATGTTTATAGACAGACTCATCTCAGCTCTAGTAAACTTTCTGTTTACTGGAGGAAGTAGGAGTTCCTCTGATTGGAAGAGATGCATTATCTCTACTGCTTTTGCTAGTTACCACTTTGTATCAGATTGAACTGCTCCACAGCTCAGGATCCATTTATCCCTATTAGTCGGAGACTCTTTTAGACTAAATTTGAAATGCTAGATGAGTGTTAAGTGCAAGGTTGTTGATGTAGGCAGTCACTCATAATAACTGGAGCTGAGTGTATATGATCATCTAAATCCCTTGCCCAATTTTTGTAGGCTCTATGTGAACTGGAGGTTTTTACGAGGCATTGAGGCTCAATTCCTGGCTCTGCAGAAAGGATTTAATGAAGTAATCCCCCAGCATCTGTTGAAGACATTTGATGAAAAGGAGTTAGAGGTCAGTGCATTAACATTAAGGCAGTGGCTAGTGGAACAAGATAAAGTTGCGATTTATCTTATTTTTTTATTTAAAAAAATTTTTTTAATCTTATTTATTCTATTGCCCTTTCTTGTTCTGAACTCTGATTTCCTGTCTTATGTACACATTCTTGTGATTTACTTAGTTCAATCACATTAATTGGGCCCCACCATATTAGAGTTTATTTAGATAAAGTCCATTAGAGTTTCTTTAGATAAAATTCTAGCCCATTGATTTTATATTTGCTTTAAAAGGGGACATGATCATAGAGGAAATAATTAAAACATTCAGGATAAATTCTCTGAATATCCTTAGATTCTTCCTGTTAAGTAACAGTGTCAGTCTTTTATTTTTCACTTAAAGTTGGTCTTCAACTGAACTCAGGTCTGGTTTTATAATTAAGTTCCTTAATAAATTTCCACTGAAGTCATTTGAAAAAAAATTTTAAAAAATTTTTTTACCAAACTCTTACTACCATTTAGTTGATTCCAACTCATAGTGTCCCTGTGATGTCACTTTGAAGACTAAAGTGCACCTGACCCATGCCGTGGTATTTTCATTTACTTCATATGCATGTGAAAATTGGACAAGAATAAGGAAAATAGCACAAGAATTCATTCTAATGATGGTATGGGTAAAGAATACTGAAAGTGCTACAGACTGAGAGAAGAACAAAGTGCTGGTGCCCAGCTACCAAAAGATATAGCACCTGAAGCCTTAAAGACCTGGAGATAAACAAGCAGCCAGCTAGCTGAGAGACAACAAAACCCACACGGAAGAAGCACACCAGCCTGCCCTTACTCGATCGCTAAGGACAAAGGTGGGGGGTGGGGTGGGGGGGCATTAGCAAAAGTGGTGAAGAAATCAGATGGTGCCCGGCTATCAAATGATACAGCATCTGGGGTCTTAAAGGCTTGAAGACAAACAGGTGGCCATCCAGCTAAGAAACAACAAAACCCACAAGAAAGAAGCACACATTAGCCTACCCCGACACGAATGCTCAAGACAAAGTGGGTACATAAGCAAATGCGGTGAAGAAAGCTGATGGTGCCAAGCTGTCAAATTACACAGAATCTGGGGTCCCACATGCTGGAAGATAAACAAGGGGCCATCTAACTGAGAAACAACAAAGCCCACATGGAAGAAGCACACCAGCCTGTAAGATGACAAGGTGGCAAAGGGGTCAGGTATCAGGCATCAAAGAGCCCCCCCACCAAAAAACACCCCATAACCATTGTGAATGAGGGGGAGTGCAGAGTGGGGACCCAGGGCCCATCCAGGGGAAATTGGACATCCCCTTGCAGAAGGGCTGCGGGGAGGAGAGGAGTAAATCAGAGTGCAGTATAGTAACGATGAAATATGCAATTTTCCTCTAGTTCTTAAATGCTTCTCCCCCCCCACTACCATGATCCCAATTCTACCTTACATATTCAGCTGGACGGGAGGATGTGCACTGGCACAGATAGGAACTGGAAATACAGTGAACCCAGGACAGATGAACCCCCCAGGAACAGTGGAGAGAGTGGCGACAGCGGGAGGGTGGAGGGAAGGTGAGGGAGAAAGGGGGAACAGATGACAAGGTCTAAATATGGCCTCCTCCCTGGGGGGACGGACAGCGGAGAAGTGGGTGAGGGAGACGTTGGATGGGGTAAGATATGATAAAATAATAATTTATAAATTATCAAGGGTTCAGGGGGAGGGGGGAAAAGGAGCTGAAACCAAGGCCTCAAGTGTAAAGCTGGTGTTGTGAGAATGATGAAGTCAACATATGTACTAATGTGCTGGACACAAATGACATATGTACGGATTGTGATGAGTTGTATGAGCCCCTAATAAAATGATTATTTAAAAAAAAAAAAAAAAACCAAGTGCTGTATCTTGGAAGAACCAGAATGCTCCATAGAATGTAGTACGGCAAGACTTTGACCAGTCCATGGAAAAGGATATGCTAAAGGAGAAAGTTGGTAAAAATGTGAAAGACAGTCAAGAAGATGGATTGACACAGTGATTGCAACAGTGTACCTAATGATTGTGAGGGTGGTACAGGACCAGGCGGTGTTTCACTCTTCTGTGCAATGTCACTATGAGTCCGTACTGACTAGTTGGCACCTAACCACCACCACCACCACCACCACCAGCACCAACACCACCACCCAGCATTCCATATTTACATAGTTGTAGCGTAAACATTTCAAGACTACACATAATGTAAAACATGACTGTATGTATTAATTGCAACCATTTATCTCCTTTTAACTAAACCTGTTAAATAAATCTTAAAAAATTGGCTTGCTCAGTACTCTCTCCCTTTTTGTTTGTGGTTGAATTGTTCAATAGTGAAATGGGTAAGAGGAAATGATCATAGTATAGAAGAAGAAAACCTTAGTAAGAATGCAGTGAAGTTAAAATATAAGCTTTTTTCATTATTTTATATAAGGAGTGAAGAATTTGGCCCTATAATTACCACTCCTTTGAAAGAAAAGCATTTAGAGAGGTATCTTTAGTGTTATACATATACCCGTAATTCTATTTGAATAGCCTCTTCAGTGTTCCATGCGACTCGATTCAGTAAAATCTTTGGAACCTTGGAGATTTTATGCAGTAAGGGTAGAGTTTACATATTCTAATAAAATCATTCCAGTTTTCAGGGGGAAAATAATCTATACTTTAGTGTTATACTGGATTAACAAAATTAATTCTAAAATTTAGGATTGTAAATTCCATTTTATTATATGTTATACATATTGAAATTCACCATAAACATCTTTGTAAGATGTTTGGACCCTTAGGAGATGTTACTATTAACACCATCAAAAAGTTTAACTCGAAGGATCTTGCATCAACATGCCAAGCATTTGCTTTGTCTGTGCCCAAGTATATTTTCTGCTTGGGTACACTTTTAAGGCTATGAGTTGATCGCATTAACTCATTTAGTCAACACAATCTTTTGAGTGCCTGTGCTAAACACAGGAGTTGTGGATTAGAAGTTGTTGCCAACCTACCACAGAGGACATGAGCCCAAGGGAGGGACCCACACCCCAGATCACAAAGCCAGTGAGTGTTGAACCCATAAGTGAGGCCCAACTAAAAATGGTGTTTACTCTTTGGGTCTCATTTTGTGCTCGTTTATTAATTATTATTATAACTAGAATTTTATTATGATTTATGACTTATCGACCTGCTCTGTCCAGCGTGAGGCTGGGCAGAGAACCTGCAGAGTTGTGATCTGTAAAGTGTTGGGAAATAGAGACCCTTAAAGTCTCACCCCAGACTCACCGAATTAGTCTCTGAGCAGAGACATGGTGTGTATAGTTGGAAAAGTTCTCTAGGTGATTCTGATGGGCACTTTTGATTAAGAGCTAACACTGCAAATCAGAGTTCCGTTTTTGAGGTGTTTGGGGCATAATAATTTTGGCTTCCACTGACTTATTATTTCTGTAACTTGCTAGCTCATCATTTGTGGACTTGGGAAGATAGATGTTAATGACTGGAAGGTGAACACCCGGTTAAAACACTGTACACCAGATAGCAACGTTGTGAAGTGGTTCTGGAAAGCTGTGGAGTTTTTTGATGAAGAGCGAAGAGCACGGCTGCTTCAGTTTGTGACAGGGTCATCTAGGGTGCCTCTGCAAGGCTTCAAGGCTTTACAAGGTACCGGAGCGGGGGCTGCCCGTAGTCTACTTGTGTAGTGTCTTACAAACCGTGTGCTCTCATATCTGGTTACCACCTTCTCCTTCCTCACCTCTGTTCCTCCCCAAAGCCTTTTTAGCTGTCTTCTGTGTTTGCAGGCAGGAGAGTATGTTATATATGGCATGTGGGATGCTCAACCTTTTGGGTTTTGCTCACTTTTTTTTTGTTGCAATTCTCGTAGGGAAGCCACCTACTTCCAAGTTCAACATAGCTAAGCGTTTACCCCATGCTATGCCTCTTTCCTCTCCTTTTGTTCTTTTAATAGGAAGACTCAGCAGGAGCAGTGGAGGGTGGCATTGACTTGGTCAGAAGCACTCTGAGTTACGGCATGGCATCACACCATTTATTTACAACCTTTTCCATTTTAAGAATCAGTTCCATAAAATTAAACCATTCCCTGTGGGCTGATTTGCTCATCTCCGAGATGCTTCCTGGTGGCCCTTGCTTCCTTCTCTCTCAGCCCCTTAGTTTGTGGTGACACAGAGCAGAGACCAGCGTATCCAGCTGTGCTGCCTGCTGCGCCCAGGAGGAGCACTCGCTTTGAGTTGTTTTGCACTGACTACCTGTATGGAGAATTCCTTTCTTGCTGAAATTTATTCTCTAGGCTGCTTTTCTTTTCCAGTCCAACTTGAGTTCTGAAACCTAACTTTGCACCATGTTATCATCGCTTCAGATCTACAAGTGTCTGTGTTTCTTCTTGGCCTTGTCTCAGTTGCTAGTCATCTTTTGGGATGTTAATTTGTACAGAGGGTGGAAGTTGGCAACAATTTCAGTCAGGAATTTTCCCCCCTCAGGTTGAAATGCTGGGCTGTTAAAGAATCCAGGTTTATCTAAGGGTCATGCCCAGCTTTTTCTTGCTTCCTGTGGTAGCTTGGGTGTGGGTTGCTCAGCATTCTCCTGACGTTGTGTGTGTGTATGTGTGTGTGTTTTATTTGAAGAATCATGAGTTGACCCACTTTGACTTTGTCTGCAGGTGCTGCAGGCCCACGGCTCTTCACAATACACCAGATTGATGCCTGTACCAACAACCTGCCAAAAGCTCACACTTGGTAAGGTATTTGTTAGCCCCTTTATCTGCTCCCTGTAGGTATTGGCTTCTTGCAGATTGGACTCTCAATGGATTGTTCTTACTCCTTTAAGAGTATCTAGTCACTTCCAACTTACGGTGCCCCCTACAGGATAGGCAAGAACCTTTTTTCCTGTAGAATGGTGGGTGGGTTCCAACGGTCAACTTTTGGTCAGCAGGAGAGCGTGAGTGCTTAAACACTGTACCAGCAGAGCTAACCCCAAAACAACAAACGAATGCTAAGTGACTCTTTGATTTAGATGCTGAAATTATTCTGAGATTAGTAGGAGCCCCCCAAGGAGATAGTCTCTATTTTAGAGGCTGTGTAGCATGCTGAGTGAGAGTAACTTGGCTGTAGTAGTAGAGGTTTCCTCTGCCCGTGTACTTATTTGAATGATTGGTACAAAATCTGGTTTGCTCTTATTCACAGCTTCAATAGAATTGACATTCCACCCTATGAAAGCTACGAGAAGCTGTATGAAAAGCTGCTAACAGCCATCGAAGAAACATGTGGATTTGCTGTGGAATGATGACATCCAGGATGACCCCAGGACTATTTTATGCCCCTGATCAACAGCCTCCTTTCAGCAAAGTTTTGAAGAATGCTGAAATACAGAACTCCCATCCCCCTACCCCCTTTTTAATTTTAGGACACTGTGAGGGGAAAGGACGATTTTGAAATTCCTTTTTGAGGGGAAAAAAAAGGTCTTTATGCTTTGCCATGAGGCCACATTCAGCTGCTATTTAAAATTGATATCTTGAACCTAAAGAATGCTGACTTTTCCTACATTTCCAGAGTTAGGCAGTATTCGACACGTAAAGACTACTACTATTTTTATAAAAGGTAATCTATTCAAATCGCTTCACAGATTTCAAGTTTCTGAACCATCAAGACAACTTCAGCGGTCGGTACAAGTCACGTTTCAGTTTAATTGGATACATGATTTTTAACAGCTCCTGTACTTGCTCTTTGTAAAAATAAAATAAATTTATTTTGGATTATTCTAACTTTGTAAAAAAATTGGTTAAAAGAATCATCTTTTATGAAATTAAGCCACTTACATGTTTAATTACAGTTTTCCTATAGCAAAGCATTCTATTTTGCATTATATGTTTTAACCTAGCCTAAGTGAGTCTTTTTTATATTTTTCAAGCATGAGTTTCTTGGATTACAGCTGTAAAGATTTGGGTGTCAAAATCCTAATGCAACCACTTAGTCTAAATGTATGCGTTTGATACAATAAGAATCTGTGTTCAGGGGCTCCCTGTTTAAGAGACATAAAAATAACAGCAACAAATACCATTTTTTAATCTGAAACCAATATGATCAGGTGTTTTGGATTTATTTTTCATCTTACATAGAAATACTGCATTTTTTTATAGCTCCTGAGAGCATGTGGATGGGATGGGAATGTCCATTCTTTTTCTGGATCAGCTTATCTTCGATAAATACTATTTCTATAAACCAAAGTCTCCTATGACAAATGCACCTAATTTATACTCTTTTAATTAAAGCATCAGTTTCTATGAAGTAAACCATCCTGAATCTTTTTTTTCCCCTGCCCTGCTTGTGACATTTAAAAAAAAATGATGAAAAAGGAAAAATTCACTAAAGGTTATTTAGCAAACTTAGAAAGTCCTGCTTTTACCTAACAAAATGAAGTGGAGAAGTGGTCCTGGCGGTATATGGGGCGTGAATAGTACCTAAACAGTGCTTATAACTAACTCTGTGGGATAAATTATTTTTTAACTAAAGGGTTGATTTTTGAAGTCAAGGAAGCCCTTTTCCTTTAGTGTTGAAAATCAACTGAATTTGAAATGTCCAGATTTGGCTTTTCAGGGTATGTGGCCTATTGCATGATCCAGAAGACACCTAGAACCTCTAGGGTGAGGGCTTAGAAAATTTGAAACCAAAAAAAAAAAAAGAAAATTTGAAACCATGAGTGGATTTTTCAATTCAGCCATTACAAATCTGCACCGTGTGTGGGTGTGTTAATCCCAACACCAACCGTTGGGAAGGTAGTATTGAAATTATCAAATGAGTAGATCCTTTCGTTCCTACTCAACATACTTCCTGTGATGGAGTGGTTGTCTATGCTTCTTGGGACCTTGACCTCCAGAGTAAAGGTTCCAGAGAGAACAGGGGCCTCTTAAGTCCTAGGCTGTTCACACAGCGCAGCTGGATTTTCACTCTCGTGCATTGGGATTCCAAGTAAGCTTTCACTGAGAGGGGGGGAAAGGGGAGATAAGGGGTGGAGATTTTGCTGCTTTAAAGAACGTTGTGTACTACCTAAGTAGTTTTATAAGTATTTAAATGTATTTCATCAGCCAAATTTGCCACAAGCAAGCTCATTGTATTCATAACTCTAACAACTGTAATGTGCTTATGTGACCTTTTTCTTCCCATTGTGTTTTACCTACTGCATTCTTAGTACTGACGACATCTTGAAACGTCCGTAGATCGCTGTACTGTTTGACCATCGGTAGTGTTCAGCTTTCACAATAGGACCTTACTGGTTGCAGGCTCATCTTTCTTGTAAAGCACTAGTGCAGCCTGTAATTGTGCCTACTCTTAGTCCTCCCGCAAAAAGTAAGTACAAGATCAACATTTTGTAGAAGCCAGGTCTGACAGGGATGCAGTAATTATGAAATGTTACTCTTAATTGCTATAATGTACAAGATAGAGCAGGCAGATATCTTTGCTTCCTGAGTGCCTTTTTAACTTTGTGATAATGATTTTTAAAAGAGCTTTAAAATAAATAGATTTCCCTTGGTTCTTACCAGTCTGTGGCATCACCACGATTTATAAACACGATTTCAGTTTCAAAATTACATTACCTGATTACTTCTAAATGGGTGCTAAGCAAACAAAAAGCCCAGCGTATCATTGCACCTCATGCTTAATGTGAATATTTATTTCTGCGTGTCCCTTTTAGCTAGGCTTTTCCATAACTATTCTAGTTATGTTCTTTCAGCTACATGGTATGTTTTACATACTGTTCCATCCTGAGTGCTTACTTATGAACAGTGGTTATTCTGTAGAGCTCATGAGCACAGAGGTGAGTTTTGTCTCCAAGGGTCTGATTTCATGGTGTAGAGTTCTTAAATAGTGCTTTGTATAGTGTACATTTCATTTGCACATAGTTTGTTGCCTTGAATGGGTTTTATTTTTACCAAGTCTGATTTTTCCTTCTTGTATTTACAGTCCAGAGCACAAGTTTCCCTTCTTTGAAAACAATGTAGCGTGTCTTCTTTGATAACACTAAGTCTGATTTGAACTTTTGGTGCATGGCTGGAAGTTAAGACAGGCCCGGCCACCTTGACAGTTCATTAGAGCAGCTCCTCTGGCTTCCGTTCTGAATCTGCAGCCTCCAGTCAATGGATGCCCTTCGTGGTATTGAACATTCTTGTTAGGATGATGACTGTACCAAATGCTGAGTTGTTCTGTTTCTAGATGTAATTAGTTCACTTAATGTAATATTCTCCCTTCTTTAAGACTGACTTTAAAAGCAAAGTTTTATCAATTTCATTGTATTTGTATTTATTACAGAGTGTTTTTAGCGTTGATATTCTTTGTATTGTCACTCAGCTGTTACATGAGCTTTATCAATAACATCTGTGTAAATGGTCTTTAAAAATTAATGTATTTGCCCATGCCGAAATCGAGCAATAAAATGAATGCTGTTTTCACTGTCACAGCATCAACATTTATAAAGAATATCGAGTTTGTAATGCATTGCTTCCCCCCCAAATATCTGATTGGCTCTGTGAAGGGTGACAGCATAAGACGGAGGAGCTCAGGGAAAATGATGACCTGTTCCAGGTGGTGCCTGTGTCACACTACAGAGCTTCAGGGAGTTCGGGGTGGGGGTGGGGGAGGCGCTTGTCCCCATGCAGAGCAGCAACGGGTGCTCATTTCCACCTACTGACAGCTGATCAGTAGACAAAAGGACTGCTGGCAATTGTGAGAGGTTGGGTCTGAGGCCAGCCCTAGAGCAGTGCCTTTCAGGGCTTGGAGAGCAAAACTAAGGCACAGGGGCCCTCCTGTTTGCTTTCCCTACGTTAACCTTAGAAGTAACTTCATGTTCTCTCCGGGTCATGATTCAGATCTCTATAAATGATCCTGGGTAAGCAGACAGCTCACTATGTGGGTGGAGAAGGAGTACGGAGTGTTAAGCTTTTCATCCAGAATGTAGGGACACAACAGAACAAAACCTGTCTGGGAAAACACAGTGGTAGTGGTAGCAGTGGTTATTATCTCAAATTTCTAAAGTTAATGAACGTTCAGGATTTTAGTATAAAATAGTATTTTTAAAACCTGTGAATGATTACCCAAACCTTCTAGCTACTCTCTGAAGGGTTTCCTGTCCTATGGTGCTGAAAAGCTTGTTCCTTCATTATAATGAACATTAACCATGTATTTGTACTTTAGACCCCACGTGCTATCAACAGACCGAGAGCATAGTAACAGGATAAGCCAAAGCAAATCTGTTGCCACCAAACTTAGAGACACCTAATTAGACAAGTAGAACTGCTGGCTCCCTAGGGCTTGGAATCTGTAAGAAAGCTGAATGCCAGGCTCGAACCCCTGGTGGGTTTGAACCTCTGACCTTTGAGTTAGTAACCTAGCACTTGACCACCAGGGCTCCGGGTAACAGGATAAAAAGAATCAGTATACCAGAAAAAGGGTGATAGTCTTATATTAACACTTTCAGCAAACTAGATTTCATTTACACATTCTATGCTATTGGAAGTTTTTGTTTTTAGCTATTGAAGTTTTATTAGGTTGCTTGCTCTAAATATGACTCTATTCAACTAATAATTGGATACCCCCCCTACTCCATGCCAAGCTGTGTACAAGCTTTGGTTAGTTGTTGGAAAATGGAACTTTCCAAATTCATGCTCTTAACCTGTGTCTCACTCAGTAGAGGCTGAAGTTCATACTTGGATGCTCAGAGCTGTATGTGCCCGGCTCATAGTCAGTTGTGATGGGAGCAAATGCTAATCAGAGCCAGCTGCACATTTCACCTTAAACCTGCAGCCTCAACCCCACAAATGTGTGGTAATGAGCATGCCTATATAATGCACACATGAAAGCAGCAACCTGTCCTACAGACGGTGAGCAGCCTGAGGCAAGGCTAGACTTGGTGGCCTTGTTGCTCCTGCTGCTTCCGAACCTGTCTGAAAATTGGAGGCTGATCACCTTTAGAGACCACTCATTTCTTCCCAAGATATGAACGGCAGAAACAGGGACGTTCAAGAAACAATTAACTCTAAATAACTCAGGAACTAGAGGGTGAAAAGTTGAAAAGTTAAAGGCCATTCAAGTTTGGTGTTTTCAGGACAAGAATTTCCAGCTTAATTCAGCTGGATGCTGTTTGGAATGGCTGGAAATACCAGCTAAAACACATTTCAGCATGAGTGGTTTGGGAAGCTAATGAATTATGAGGGGCCTTTGGCGTTCATAGATGCGATTCCCTCCCCCCACCCCCCTTTTAACCTACCCACAGTAAAAGGCCTGAGAAGCTGGCAGCGCAGTTGAGGCTTGCTAACAAAGAACAAAAGGAACACATTTTAAGAAAACAATTTTTATTTTTAAATTCATAAAAAGTACTGTGATGAGTACATAGATAAGGCATTTAAAAAAGGCTCTTCTGGTTTAGACTGTTTCCTGATTCAATTCTCACTGTGCTCTAGTAAGGAGTCCTAGAAACGTGCCTTGCTGAGGCCTGGCCTCTCGGTCATGAATGCATACTGTACTGAAAGGAAGCTAGATGTAGCCGGGATTTGAAGCGCTCAGCTTCCAGTTCCCGGAAGAAAGCGTCATCTTCATTTTGTGTTATCAGGTTCTGCAGCTGGTGAATTTCCTTCTCCATTTTTGATCTCAGCTCCCTCTTCACCTTGTGTAACGTCTGAAAGAGAAGTCCTGGCGTCCTGAGACTGACAACGTAGTCTAGGCCATTCAAGCACCCTGCTCATCAAGTACCACCCCTGATTTTAATAATTTCGCAGCTCTTACCAGCGTCCTAAACAGGTACGGCTAAAATCACAGGATGAATGCCTTAGATAACAGCTACTTATGTTTAAATTGATTTTGTATTCACTCCTTTGAGAAGGTATAATACAGTTTTCTATTTCTGGAAAATGTAAGTAGATAACTTAATACCTTGTTATTTATTACCTGAGTCTGACATTTCTCTCTGGTTTTGAGTTCTTGGCGTTCTTTCGATATGGCTTCTGCCAGCAAAGAAAACTATAGGGAAGGGAAAAACAACATGTTTGTAGCCCATGTGATAGGTCTTACATTTCATATTCACCTGCTTAAAATATTTAACAGAAGTAAAGCAATATAGATTCTGCACTGTGGTTCAACACTAGCCTAAATTATTTTCGTTTCGGTTTCAGTCTTAAGAGGAGGACAGCCAACCTACAGTGAAATGTCCTGAGTGGACTTCTTTGCAGCATACGAAGCTGACCTGATGCAGGTGTCCAGGTTAAGCCAGCAAAGCCAGTGCGCCCCCTACCTGGTCTTTGTAGTAGTTCTCCATCGAGTCCAGCTCATTCTGGTGCTGTCGCTTTTGCTCATCTCGCTTTTCTTTAGCATAGTTTCTCAGGTCCCGCAATCTTTGCTTCTGGATTTGTAAACCTTCTTCGAATAGTTTCTTAAATATCTGTTATTTAATCATAAAAAGAAAGTTAAGACACTGAGTAATATAATCACTTTGCCCAATTAGAGATGCATACTGATTATATTTTGCAGACTTATTTTTCATAACAGCTATCCTGAGATAATTAGTTTAGTTACGTGGCTACTACCCCAAAACGAGTCCCTGTGCCCATCAGCAGACACGCCATTATCCCCTGCCTCTACAGCCACTCGCTTCTCTCTCTCGATTGACCTATTCTGGCCATTTCATAGAAGTGGACCATATAGCGGTCTTTTGTATCTTGCTTGTTTCAGTTACCATATCCATTGTGTAGAAGTGCTTCACTTCTTCTTATGGCAGACTAATACTCTTTTTTAAGGATATTTTATTTATCCATTCATTAGTTGGTGAACAAATTTGGGTAGTTTTTTGCCATGCTGAATAATCCTGCTATGAATATGTATGTATAGATTTTTGTGTAGATGTATACCTAGGAAGTAGAATTGCTGGGTCAAAAGGTCAGTGTATGTTTATTCTTTCAGAAACTCCCTAATTGTTTTGCAAAGCAGCTGCCCTGTTTTACAGTCCAACTAGCTCTGTGTGAGGGCTCTGGTTTCTCAGCATCATTGCCGACAGTCTGTCTTTTTGGTTTTGGCCATTCTAGTAGTTGTAAAGTAGTATCTCATTGTGGTTTTGACTTGATTTGCATTTTTGTAATGACTCGTGTTATTGAGCATTTTTCACGTACTCCAAAGATTCTTGACTCTTTCAGAAAAGAATTCTCAAGCAGACATGTATGTAGGACAAGGACCCTGAGCAGAAATACATGCTGTGAACACATGTGAACTGAGGGTGAGGCAGGTGCCATCTGATTGTTGTCTTAGGTGCCATTAAATCAGTTCCAACTCATAGCAGCCCAACGAACCCCCACCCCCACCACCTGGTCCTGCACCACCCTCACAATAGTTGCTGTGCTCACGTGAGACCACTGTTGGCAGCTAATGTGTCAATCCATTTCCTTGAGAGTCTCTTTTTGCTGACACTCTACTTTCCCAAGCATGATTTCTTTCTCCAGGGACTAGTCCCTGTGGGAGTATGTCCTAAATATGAGAGACAAGCCTCACCATCCTCCCAGCTGCAGAGTTTTCTGGCTATACATCTTTGAAGACAGATTGGTTTGTTCTTCTGGCAGCCCGCCATATATGTAGTATTTTTCATCAACACTGTAATTCAAAGGTATCAATTCTTCTTCACTCTTCCCTTATTCATTGTTGAGCTTTTGCATGAGGTGAATGAAAGAATGGCCGTGGTCAGGCGCACCTTAGTGCTAAAAGGGTCTTCTCTTTGCCCTTTAACATTTTAAATATATCATTTGATTTCTTTTTTTTTAAATCATTTGATTTCTTGACTGCTGTTCCCATGGGCACACATTGTGGGTCCAAGTGAAGTGAAACTTGACAGCTGCAATCTTTTCTCTGCTTGTCATGATCCTGCTTACTGGTCCAGTTGTAAGGATTTTCTGAGTTAAGTTGAGGTATAAGTCAGATTGAGTCGTGGGTCCTCATCCATATGCTTTTTGTTTCAAGTCCTTTAGGCTTTCAGCAGGCAAGGTTGTGTCATCTGCATATCAAAGGCTATCACTGAGCCTTCTTTCAATCGTGATGCCTCCTCCTTTATATAATCCAGTTTGAACGTACAGATTGAATAAGTATGGTGAAAGGATACAATCCTGACTGACGTACACCTTTCCTGATTTTAAACCACATAGCATTCCCTTGTTCTGTTCAAACAACTGCCTCTTGATCGATTCCAAATGAACATAATGAACGTAATGAAGTGTTCTGGAATTTCTACTCTTCACAGTGCCACCTCTAATTTGTTAGGGTCTGTGCAGTCAAATGTCTTTGCACAATCAGTAAAACTTGGGTAAACCTCTTTCTGGTATTCTTTGCTTTCAGGTGTCTGACTTGGCCACAGTCAAACAAACCGTTCAGAGGGTTTGAAGTTGCCTGGCTGTCCTCCTGGTTCTGAGAGCCCTGCCCATCATTAGCTCTATTTCTTAAATGCTGAAAGCCTTAGGGGTGCCCTCCTCTGGAAAAGAGAATAGGACTCTCTCCAGAGCAGCCACTTACATAAATACTATTTTACTCCTGACTCAAATCTATTACCAGTTTGAGATTCTGAAAGAGGACACATTTCAGCTCAGAACAAGACAACAAATATTTTGAGGAAAGAAGGGCATCTGCTCTCACTGTTCCTGATTTGATGTGGTTTCTGCAGTCATCTCATCACACCTGTCCCAGAACATGCGCGCAAGTCCCTAGAGCAATTGTATTCGAGAGTTGCTAAGTGTAGGGTGGAGGTCAGAGAGAATGAAACTTCCCAGTGCGATGAGGGCTGTGGGGACTGGGCACAGACACAGATGCACTACGAGTGAGGAAGGGAAGCATCGGCAAGTAACTCTCAGTTTGTATTTGAAGACTTGGACTTGTATTATGGATTTTAACTGACAAGAATCACAAAAATGGAGATCCTGAAAGTTAATGGTAAGATTAACTTCTTAAATAGGCCTGGACAGAAAAAAAATTACTTACCATTTCTTCCCGGGTTCTCATTCTCATCATTTTTGCCCGCAACTGAACTCTATAATCATCGTAGTATCTGCGGGCGCGGACTATTTGTTGCCGATTCTCTTTTATCTTTGATTGAGTCAGCCTCTGCCTATTAATGCGATCCTTGAAGTCTTGCTAGGAAATGGATAAAGAGGTAAGGGTGGAAGGCACACAGCCTTGGAGTTCTCATCTACCTGACTTCCCACCAAAGTAACAAGCTAGGTCTGGGGGGGGCAGGCATTTTCTGCGAAAGGCTGGTGGCTCGAAGTTCTCACTGCTGCAGCAAGCAGCAATGACCCTGCACCCTCTGGGTAGATCCACAAGTCTCACCTCCCTGTTCCACTTGGGGTTTCGAGAGCTCCCACTGGCTGCCAGCCTCAAAAAAGAGGAAGTGCCCTCTTTCAAGCTTGAGTTTCCAAGAGTATTGAGCCAAAAGTAAAGATTACACTAAAAGGGTTTCTATGAATCACTGAACTTGGTTTGTTCCTTAGAAGTTGGACAAGACTAGCAAAGTAGTGACACAGATTGTGTTCAGATTATGTTTTCCCCTTTCCCTACTCAAGTACTGCATGCACGCTTGAGATGCCATCCCCTTATTTCTGGAGTTGTTTAGGATGATAGTTCTCCTGGCTTATCTCTACTCCATGCCCGACCAGAGGCTTTTACATCTCTTCCTTTGCCTTATGAGAGGGCTTCAAAATGATTGTGGAAACACTCCATTATCTTTTAGTTCTATTTTCCTATAAACTTTCAGAAGTTCTCTCTTACTATCTTCTCTCCCTTCACTGTACTTGAAAAAGGATATTGTGCTAAGTATAATTTCCAGTCCAAATACAATTGTTAGCTGCTGTGGCAACCTCATGATGGGTTGTGGGTTGGGCTGTGGTGTTCCAGTGTTTTCATGGGCTGATTTTCAGCGGTAGATCAGACCTTTTGTTCCAAGTCCATCTTAGGCTGGAAGCTCCCCTGAAACCTGGTCAATAGCATAACAATATACAAGCCTCACTGACCAGACGGGTGTGGTTGTGCATGACGTGCACTGACTGGGACTCAAACCTGGGTCTTCCACATGGAAAGCAGGAGTTCTACCACTGAACCACCAATGCCCCTTAAATGACAATGCAGGCTGATAAGCTACCCAGTTCTTTACATGGGGTCTAAGGAAGGTGAGAAAATCAAAAGCATTATGTTAACAACCAGCAGGCCCCAAGAAGGGGCTGTGGAAGCATAGGCCCAAACCGAATTGAAAACTCCATCTTGCTTCTTAACTTACAGTGGGACCCCGGGAAAGCTGGGTATAACATCTCACCACTTCAGCTTCCAAATTTCACAGCACACATCCACTCCATTGTTTCTATACAGACTAAATGAAACCGTGTGCAAAGCACCTAGCACCTTCCTCCTCACCACTGTTGGAAAGCCCTAGATACTTCCTCAAGCAAATGTTGAAGATAAATGTCCAACGGTACAAATAAGCATGTTAGCTGTTAAATTCAAAATGGCAACACCAACTTGCTCTTGACATACCAGTCTCTTGTTATGTTCATATTCTTTCTTGACAAGAGCAATAAGGAGGTCATGCCTTCTTAAGGCTTCTTCTATCTATAAAAGGGGGTGGGGGCACAAGAGGCAGTGGGTTAACAAGACTGCACGTTAGAGTCTCAAAGATCTGTGCTTCCTTTCTGGTTTAGATTCCTCCTGAGCTTAAAACTGAGAGTGACTTACTTCATCTTGGAGTTTCTTCTTCGACCGTTGGTCTCCATATGCATCTTTTCTGAGCTGTTCAATCTGTGCAATTTGCTCCTTCCACATTTTGCTCAGGGTTTGGCCAGAAATGTGGAGAAATGGAAACTGCTCCAGCATCACGGGCAGGAGACTATATTCATTTAATTTTACTGCAAAGTAAAATGAGATGCTCTTAATCCGAGAAAACTTGCTGACAGCTTTCACAAGTGTTCTCATCCCCCTTTCTTGGTAGGTCAGAGCTAATCTACATGATAGGCGGTATGGTAGTTACATAATCTGTTGTCAATCTGAGAGAGGCTTAAGAGTGAAGGGGTGGAGGTTAGCCTGTCAATAAGGTCACAAGTTGTTTGGAGAGCAAAGAGATAAATAGCTCGCTGGAGGTGGGACACTCCCTGCAAGACATTTCTGAGGAGAAGCCACATGAAGCTACGCTGAGGCACTCAGAGTTTCACAGCTGAAGAGCCACGTGGAGACCCCTGCCAGGGCTGAGATGCTTACAACGCCACTGGATCCACAAGACTTCTAACCCACTGGCCTGTGATCTTGCATTCAGCATTGTTGCATGTGTTTCGTGAGTCTGAAGAGGTCTTTATAGATTGGTATCAGACATGCAAGTTAATATCGGACTTATGGACTTGACCTAGACTGGGCTGGGATGTTTTATCAATATTCAATTGCTCTTGTATATAAACTTCTTCCTTATACACACAAGTGTGTCTATGAATTTGTTTCTGTAGTCTAACACGGGCTGCTTCTCCTAAAGAGACCCCATTCTACATGCATGTACCAATTTTTTTCAGCCCTTCTTTGATTGGAGCAAGCTAGTTATGAGTCATCAAGGAAATGAGCTCAATAGTTCTGAATGATGATGTAATGGTGTGAAGTCGCGTGCGCGTGCCCTCCTGGCAGGCATATCCTTAGAATAAAATGCCTCTGTCTAATGGGCTGTCTTTGGGAAGCCAGCAGCCTGCCATTTAGTGTGACCAGGTTCTTATAAGGAGACTCGTGTCCCTACAACAGGAGCTGGACAAACCATCTGCTTGCCTTGGAGTGTCCCATCCAATTTCCCAGAAACAATGACCAGGTTACCAGAGTGAGGAAACACAGAGGGAGGCTGTTTCTAGGGCAGCAGGTGGTGGTCCTGGCATTTCCTTTGTGTCAATACCTAGGGTTCCCTGAGGTGTCTGCTGTATGAGTTTCTCTACAGAAGCCCAGCCATATGGCACCGATAAACAAGGGAACATTCTCCAGCTAGCGTGCATGCTGGTTTTCAGTGCTGCATCCTGGGAATCTAGCACATACTTTCAAACGTGGCCAGTTTTCCATAAAGAACAGTTTTGTGGTTCTTACTTGGAACGGCTTTCTCTGGCTTTGTGAAGCCACCTCTTGGGCTCAGCGCAGTGCTTTTCCTGGTGGACATCTTCCAAGGCTGAGAAGATTTTGGTGTCCTTTTATGCATAGCTTCTTTGTATATGTTTCCCTTAAGAGCAGATATAACACAGAATAGAGATGAGAGCGGGCTAATAACTTTCATACACCCTCTTAAGTACGGACAAAATAAGGAAATAATCCTCAGCCAAACCCATTTGATTGACTTCAAATTTCTAAATTCCGATTAATACTCAAGTAAGCTAAAAGCAGCCTTGACATCTGATATCCCTTGAAATTAAAAAAAAAAAATCCATCTTTAACACGTTTCAGACTTGCCACTGTCCTATACCCTGAATATAACCACTATGAATATTCTGATGGACTTGCTTTGCCAGCCTTTCATCATAGGTTAAAACAGTGCTTCATTGCAATCATACTATACTGTATTAACATTTTAGAATACAGTAAATACATTTTCCATGGTTTCACCAAATCCCTGTAAACAACTTTTTCACAACAATGGAAGGAAAAAAAAAAAAAACGCAATAGAAAAGGGTTTTCCTTGTTTTGTTGCTTGGTTTTGCTCTGTCTTGTTTTTGTGCATGTTATTTTTTTGTGTGTGTGTGCATGTTATCTCCGCAGGTCTGTCTAAAAAAAATAGGCTGGATGAACAATCTGGAGGAGAAAACAGTGGGACTGACAGTTCCAGGGGACATCGGAGAGGAAGAGGTGGGGGTGAGGGTGGGAAGGAAGTGGTGTTAACAAACCCTGGGACAAGGGAACAAGTGATCTAAATCGGTGTTGAGGAGGGTTCAGGAGGCCTGGTAGGGCGTGATCAAGGGTAATGTAACCAAGAGGAATGACTGAAACCCAAATGAAGGCTGAACATGACAGTGGGACAAGAGGAAAGTAAAACGAAGTAGAGGAAAGAACTAGGAGGCAAAGGGCATTTATAGAGGTCTAAATAAAGGCATGTACATATGTAAATATATATGATGGGGAAATTTATGTGCATATATTTATAGGTTTAGTATTAAGGTAGCAGATGGACATTGGACCTCCACTCAAGTACTCCCTCAACGCAAGAATACTTTGTTCTATTAAACTGGCATTCCATGATGCTCACTTTCCTGACACGATCGCTGTAAGACAAAGCAGGTGCATAAGCAAATTTGGTGAAAAAAGCTGATGGTGCCTGGCTATCAAAAGATACAGTGTCTGGGGTCTTAAAGGCTTGAAGGTAAACAAGCGGCCATCTAGCTCAGAAGCAACAAAGCCCACATGGAAGAAGCACACCAGCCTGTGTGATCACAAGGTGTCGAAGGGATGAGGTATCAGGCATCAAAGAACAAAAAATTGTATCATTGTGAATGAGGGGGAGTGCGGAGGGAGGACTCAAAGCCCATCTGTAGGCAACTGGACATCCCCTTACATAAGGGTTGTGGGGAGGAGACGAGTCAGGGTGCAGTGTGGCACCTATGAAACAGACAATTTTCCTTTAGTTCCTAAATGCTTCCTCCCCGCCAACTATCTTGATCCCAATTCCACGTTACAAATCTGGCTGGACCAGAGGGTGTACAGTGGTATAGATACGAACTTGAAACACGGAATCCAGGACAGATGATCCATTCAGGACCAGTGGTGAGAGTGGCGATACCGGGAGGGTAGAGGTAGGGTGGGGTGGAAAGGGGGAACTGATTACAGGGATCTACATATAACCTCCTTGGGGAAAAGACAACAGAAAAGTGGGTGAAGGGAGATGCAGGACAGTGTAAATTTATAAATTATCAAGGATTCATGAGGGAGTGGGGAGGGAGGAGGGAAAATGAGCTGATGCCAAGGGCATTAAGTGGAGCGAAAATGTTTTGAGAATGAGGGTAATGAATGTACAAATGTGCTTCACACGATGTGTGGATTGTGATAAGAGTTATATGAGCCCCCAATAATTTTTTTTTTTTTTTTTTAAAGAAAAAAGGGTTTTCCTTGGGCTTCTCAAAACTAGGCAGGAACTTCTGTGGCTTTTCTGCTGGTCCTACAGCTCTGGCCACCTGGCCTGTTGGTTAAACCCTTGGCACACTGCTAAGCAGCAGAACCCATCACAAGGGATAGGCGCTTTAGATTGGCAGGGGAGATGGTAGTTTTTCCCGCCACATTTGAACAACTTGGCCACTGGTGGAAGGAGTTAAGAGTAAACCCTACATCGTGAAATGGAACCCAGCCTTATCCTAAGGAGCTAGTGATGATCAAGGCCTTGTCCTGTCTGCACGTCCCACCAATCTGACCCTGGTGTTTATTTCAGTGGCGACTTTTACCCACTGTTTGCTCCTCCTTCTTGTTCATTCCTAGTGGGCCGACATTCTCTTGCACTTTGTTTCTCCTGAGTTCCCTTTCAAATGATTCAGTTATTGCCTAGAGGAGAAAAGCTCACATATTATTGAAGACATTTAGAAATGAACCCAAAAGGCAACATTCACCTCAGCTCTTGCTGCTCTTAAGAGATCAAGGTCAATCTCCTTTAACCCCCTCAGTTCCTTTCAGGAGCTATCACACAAGCATACCTTATTTTAACAATGACATAACTGAGACATAACATCTTAAGTGCACAATATGGTTATACCAGTTTTATTTTGTTACTCCCGATTTGAAATAATACCACTGGCAGCCGTCTGATTTGGTCTCAATTTCTCACCGCTGTAAAACATACTATAGTAAATTAAGTACTCTAAATCCATAGACTTTTCTAAATTCCTGTGATGGCAGAACATGTTCCCTGGTAATCATGCTAACCTCCTAGCGGAATCCCAACCACCTCTTCTCATGCCTGTCCGGGAACTTTGTCATCCTGTCTGCCCCTCAGGTGGCCTCTCATGCTGAAGCCATATCAAGTTCCCTTCATCTCTACAGTGTACTCTGAAAACACTAACTCACACTCACCTTGTTTGTCTTAATCCACTGGGCCACTTATTTTCTTACTATTTCTTACTATTTCACCAGTGCGAGTTTGATGTCACAATTCTGTCATCACCTGGCTGACGCATACTGGATACATTTTGGGCCTTTACTCAATACCTTGTTCCTGGTGGTATCTGGCTGGCAGTGACGGGTACCTCCTGCTGCCCTACAATACTCGAGAGCTGGGGACGTACCCTTGCTTTGAATCGGCGCATGTCTGTTTCTTGGTCTTTGTGCTGCTTTGCTCTCTCCCTATGGCACTGTTTGCGCTTGTTCACTGGCGAGGGGGACAGCGAGTGGGATCTGTTGGGTAGTTTTCTAGGCATGGCAAGTCCTACAATACAGACACATACACCGTTAGGCACTGACAGCCAGAAATGTGAGTCAAAACCCGAACCGTCTTTTTTTTTTTAAATCCGAGAAATGGATGAGTGAATGCACTAAAGGTGCTTCCTCCTAGAACGGGCGAGTGTTGGCTTGTATGTGTGTCATACCTGCTGTTCGTGCATTTCTGATTCACAGTGACCCTGGGTACAACAAAGAAACCCTGCCCAGTATTGGGCCATCCTCAAAATTGCTATGTTGTAGCCACTGTGTTCTTTCTCTGTTTCCCTGACCCTCTCACAAGCATGATGTGGTGAAGAAAGCTGATGGTGCCTGGCTATCAAAAGATATAGCGTCTGGGGTCTTAAAGGCTTGAAGGTAAACAAGTGGCCATCTAGCTCAGAAGCAACAAAGCCCACATGGAAAAAGTACACCAGGCTATGTGATCACGAGGTGTCGATGGGATCAGGTATCAGGCATCTAAGACCTAAAACAAAATCATACCCAATGTGAATGGGGATTGGGGTGGGGGGGGCATGGAGTGCAGATCCAATGCCCATCTGTAGACAATTTGTCCATCTGTAGACAATTGGACATCCCCTCACAGAGGGTCACAGGGAAGAGATGAGCCAGTCAGGGTACAGTATAGCACCGATGAAACACAACTTTCCTCTAGTTCTTTGGTGCTTCCTTCACCCCACTATCATGATCTCACTTCTACCTTACAAATCAGATTAGACCAGAACACGCACACTGCTACAGATAAGAGCCTGCAACACAGGGAATCCAAGATAGATAAACCCCTCCGGGCCAGAGTAGAGATAACGGGATGATTAGGGGAGGGTGGGGAGTAGAAAGGGGGAATTGACCACAAGGATCAACCTATAACCCCCTCCAAGCGGGACGAACAATGGAAAAGTGGGTGAGGGGCGACAGAGGAAAATACATGAAAAAGTCTATAACTTATCAAGGGTTTGTGAGGGAGGACGGGTGGGGGAGGGAGGGGGAAGAAATGGGGAGCTGCTAGGGGTAGAGAATGCTTTGAAAATGATGGCAGAATATGTGCAAATATGCTTGACACAATGGATGAATGTATGGATTCCGATGAGATGTAAGAGCCCCCAATAAGAGTACTTAATTTAAAAAAATTAAAAATACATTTTAAAGTGTTTTTTTTCCAAAGGGCAAGGTGTATAGTAAGGGGAAGAGGGAGCTTTCTATGTCGGACTTCCTGGAGATTAACTGTGAAGGGAAAAGAGATGAAATAATTGAGGAAAAAGTGCTCTTCAAGAAGTGAAAAACCAACTGATAAAGTTACGGAAGCATTAAACTGAGAAACTAGAGAAACAAGGGATGAGCCAGGTAGATAAAATATGCAGAATTTTTGTTGATCGCAGAAGGGAATTGTATGAATTTGAACAATGAAAGGTCACACAGTAGCAAGTCTGCAAGAATGTGGCAAACCCAACACTGCCCACCAGGCACAGTGAAAGTGGCACGTTCACTTTGCTGAGCAATGTGACAGACACCACTGAGAAAAGTGTAAGCCTCCCCATTCAGCATCTGTCCTAGATGACGATGCTCGAGAAACTGCTGCAGGTGTTTCAGGCTGTTCAGTGCAGACTCTTAGTTATGAGAACTTAGAAAGAACCAAAATGTCCAGCACCAGGGGCGCTGGTCTACACAGCGCTGTGATAGAGGACCCTTATGGACTGAACGATATCACTGAGAGGGGAAAGAGTGGCGAAGAGAGATGGGCTTTCAGTTCTTGAGAAGATAACTGTGGCGAAGAGAGATGGGCTTTCAGTTCTTGAGAAGATAACTGTGGCGAAGAGAGATGGGCTTTCAGTTCTTGAGAAGATAACTGTGGCGAAGAGAGATGGGCTTTCAGTTCTTATCTTAAACACAAATGTAACTGCTAATATCCATCTTCTGGGTACTCGAGATACATGTGTTTGAAATCATTTCTGGAAACTTTTACATTTCTGAAGTAATTACAGTGAGGGGGGAAAACATTTTCTAAAAGTGAGTAGCACTGCCCGAGCAGTTAACTTGGATGACCTCTTTCCAGACTTCTGTGGAATGCGTACCCAGGATAAGTACCTCTGGGGCAAAGGAGCTCTGGTGACAGAGTGGATTATGCCTTGGGCAACTAACTATAAGGTTAGAAGTTCAAACCTACCAACTGCTGGTGAAAGATGTAGCTAACTCCTCCCATAGAGATTTATAGGCTCGAAAAACCCACAGGGGTAGATTTACTCTACCCTATAGATTTACTATGAGCCAGAATTGACTGATGCCATTGAGTGAGGTTTTGGTTTGGTCTCTGGGACAAGAGTCTACGAGAAGTGTCTCTGGACTTAAGTACCTGGCCTTGGCTTCTTTGGCCCACACTCCATGACGCTGTCACTATGCTGAGACAGTGTCTCAGCATTTCCAGTTTCCACCTCTTCATTCCCAGCCTCCTTTACTTCATAATCAGTCTTTTCTTCCATTCGATCACCTAGGGCACTTTTTAACATCTGTGAGGAAGACAGTAATTTCCAACATCTTTCATTGTTCGTAAGAATGCAAGTTGGTAGAAGTACACAAAACCTGTAAATTTTTCCTTTAAAATTTAGGTATGCTAAACAACCTATTTTCAGATACTATCTGCACATGCTTAGTTTGTAAAGGGTGTATGAGAGTAAGTCAAAAAGTACTGCTCTTAGGGGTTCAGCACATACATGCATGGGTGTATTCCAAACAAAATGTGTTCAAACGTGTCTGCAACCAAATGAAGGGCTGCAGACAGCTCTCTCAGTACTACACTGCTATTCTCATTAGGCTGCCTCCAATCAAAAGCAGCTTCCAAGGGGCTATGCTGGACCAGTTAAAGCCAACACAGAGAAGTTAGAAGGGCAATTGACTTTTTTCTTAAAAAATCACAAAGGGGCAATCTTAATAGATTTTCTTGAAGGATTGTGGGGCCTTACAAGGAAATTTTAAGAAAACTTGAACGCTGCATTGACGAGTATCTTGGTTATCTAATGTTGCTATAACAGAAATCACCACAGGGGGATGGCTAGAAATCCGAGTTCTGGCTCTGGAGAAACGTCCTGTGTCCTTCACTCATCTGTGGCCCAGTGGCCCTTGGAGTCTCCATGTGTCTTGGCATCAGTCTTCCCTTGGGTCTAGGAGGTTCACAGCACAGGGACCCCAAGTCCAAACGAGGTGTCTGCTCCTGATGCTTTGTTCATGGTGGTAGTGGGTCCCTCTCTGTTTACTTCTCTCCCTCTTTCTCTCTTGTAAGATGAAAACTGTTGCAGGCCATAGGGACCAGGGCTGTGACAGGCTTAAGCGTTATTCCATCAGATCTCATCATGAAGGATCATCACATGCCTGCCACATTACATCGCCATGCAACTGCCAAAGAACTGAGAATCATGGCCCAGCCAAGCTTACATGTACTTTTGAGGGACATAATTCAATCCATGCCATTGAGAAAAGTCAGGAAAGTTGCGATAAGGAATTTATTCCCTGGGAATCCAGGACAGATGATTCCTTCAGGACCAGTGCTGAGAGTGATGATACTGGGAGGGTGGAGGGAGGGTGTGGTGAAAAGCAGAACCCATTACAAGGATCTACATGTACCTTCCTTCCTGGGGGATGGACAACAGAAAAGTGGGTGAGGGGAGACGTCAAACAGTGTAAGATACGACAAAATAATAATTTATAAATTATCAAGGGAATTTATTCCCACCATAACAATGCACCTGCGCATCCTTCGTGGATAGTAAAGGCAGTACTATGAGAATTTTGTTGGGAAACCTTACACCCTCATGAGACCCTCCTTCAGACTTATGTTATTCCCCAAACTCCCATGGACATTTTATAGGCACATTTATGTCGCTCTAGGAAATCGGTTCTCAACCTATGGGTCGCGACCCCTTTGGGGGTAGGGGTGGGTCAAACGACCCTTTCACAGGCGTCGCCTAAGACCATGGGAAAACACATAGTTCCAGTGGTCTTAGGAACTGAGACACCGCTCCTCTGTCTCCAGGTGGGTCCGCCCACATGCAGGTACACCCACCTATGAGTACGCTGCCTGAAGACTGTCACCCATGCTACACCGTGCTTCCAGTCAAAATGTCGTTTGTCATTAGAAATAAAGATTTCACAATATATAATTACATATTATTTTTGTGATTAATCACTATGCTTTAATTATGTTCACTTTGTAACAATGAAAATACATCCTGCATATCAGATATTTACGTTAGGATTCATAACAGTATCAAAATCACAGTTATAAAGTAGCAACGATGATAATTTTGTGGTTGGGGGTCACCACCACCTGAGGAACGGTGTGAAAGGTCGCGGCAGGAGGAAGGTGGAGAGCCCTGCCCTAGGGTGTCAGAAGTGCCATCTGGGTGGCCTGTGAACTGAGGAGCACAGCACTCTCCAGGAAGGGCCGGAGATGCAGACACCGCCTTCAGAACGCACAGACCAGGTGGAAGCGACGCTGCAAAAGCAAGTGCTTTAAACTTTGATGTTTGCTTAATAAAGAAGGCTCCTGGTTTTTTCTGAGCAATCCTGACTTACCCTCACATATTAGTGCTATTGACTATTCAGAGTCAGTGCACTTATTCAGTGACACCCCAGACTATGAAGCTTCTATTTTGCCAGAATCAATGATCATCATCTAGTTTTATATCCATTTGTCTTTAGTGACAAAGGGAAATGACAGATATATCAAGAGATGAACTATTACATTAGGAAAAAGATTTTATTTTCACCAGAATTAAGCAGTTTGGCTAAATCTGTACCAAATTTGGTTATATCACAAAAGGCTAGGCAAACTCATGTAATATTGCCACAATAACTAAGCTATGGCTCATTTTCCAATGCCCAAAGTTTAGCCTATACCTCCAATTGGGGGAAATCGCTTACCATCCCATGGGAATTTCAATACAGATAAAAACAAGACTTACCCAATCTAGCTCAGAGAGCCGCTGAGAGAGTTTCTTGGATACTGCGTGCAATTTTTGTTCTGTCAGCCTCCTGCTTAGCCTCTGGGGAAGAGGTGAATCCCAGGGTGAAACTGCAGATCTGTTTTCATATCTGTAATGCAAGGGCCCATGGGATGGGTTAGGGACCCAAGTTGGCATAATCCAGAACCAATGCATTATATGCTTTTAAAAACCTCATACTGGAGGACGGCGAGCCCACCCTTTGTCAACGCCCTCGCATCTAGAGAGACAGTGACACTGAGACAACGTCACCTTCTTCCTTGTGGAGGCCATTTGGTCCTGGGACTGTGGGCCTGAGCCGAACAGATTGCCTGTTCATTTTTAGGCGACTTAGAAGTTAAGATAACGCTATCGTCTGGTTCCTATTAAAAACAGAAAAAAAGACAATTCAAAAAAGCTATAGAGAAGGCACATTAAAGACTTTCTTGTGTGTGTGTGTGTGTGTGTGTGTGTGTGTGTGTGTGTGTGTGTAGATGTACGTGTGTAGGGACCTGGTGTACAAAGGTAGGCATCTTCATTCTCTGTGTTGTGTTCTGAAATGTGCTTATTGAAAAGTCCATGGACCCCCATGCCAACGGGATGGAGCAATGCCCACAGACTTGGCTGAGAGGAAAAGCGTGGCTCCCGGCGACCGGAGAGTTACACTAGGGCAGTGGGACACGCGATTACATCCCAGGCACACTGGTCAAGGAGTCGGTGCATTAAGGAACTTCATTTTAGAGGACAGAAAGTTGAAGCAGTCATAGAAGACTCCTCAAACAGAAATGCTGTCTTAGTCATTTTAATAATTCATTTTCTGAATGAATTATTCAGAAGTTCCAGACTCTGGAATTGTTGGGGAGATGTTCTTTATGGTGAAGATCGCTTCCATTTCATTTCAGTACCTTTATCTTCAAGTTAAGAAAAATCAAATACTTATTAGTAAATAGCAACTCTGATGTGATCTCCCTTAGAAAACTTCTTATTCAAGGTTAAATATAAAGCTCCATGAATTATTTCAAAATGGATACTCCCACCTATCTGCCAGCTAGCCAATTAATGGAGCGTTCCCACCACCTAGTTATTGTTCTCTGCTCCCCTGCCTCTCGGCCTCAGTGCCCACCACCTCTCTGACAGATGCACAGGGTAGTCAGCCTGGTGGCCACTTGCCCTGATGATGCTTATTTCTTCTGGGAGCCTCTTCTGCATTGTTCGATGTATGCACAGGGGCTTCCAAACGTTCGTGGAAAAAGGCCAGGCAGGTGCGTGCAGAGGCAATTTTCAGAATACAAGGTGCTGGTTCATGGACTACTTCATTGACTATTATGATGCCAGAGACCTCTTTGTTTAGAGTCACAGACTTCTGTCCACCCAAAAGCCAGTGTGTCCACTCACCGGGGCCAGCACCATATACTCTCCAGTAGAGTTCATGGCCGAGGAGTCGCGGGCTGCATGCAAGTACTCCTTCCCCATGGGGCAGGGTGCTCGAGACTCGAATGGGTGGTAGGGTGGCTGCAGAGGAATGGCGGATCGAATCGGCTCCCCTAGCTTCCTGGCACTGGAAGTCATACTCACAGAAGGGATTTCCACTAAGAAAGCAAAGTAAAGTGGACATTGCAGTTACGCTCTGAGGAGCTATACACGTGTTCACACACACTAGTAGGAAGCACATTTTAAAGCCGATTTTAAAAATGAGTACTCCAACAATAATTAAACCAGGAACTCCTTGTAAATAAGTTAAGGGTAAAATTAGTCCGCATGAATGGAATTCAATTGTTAATTCAAATCATAGAAATGGCCCTTGAAAAGAAATCATGAGCCGGAGCGGCCTAAAGAATGGCTACAAATTCCGGTTCTGCCACATGTCAGAACATCAGCTGGCTGGTGACAATGCCCTTACCTAACTGTCACCTGAGAATGCCAGAGGTGATGATAAGGAACATTTTCCAGAAATCAGTAGAAGACATTTTTTCATTCGCTCGTCACTGGGAGATTACCAACTGACATACTAGTGTATCACACGCTACTGTCCTTAAGCAGAAATCAGGGGTAGTGGTTAAAAGTAAACATTCACAAATAAGGCCTTGTAAAGCCAAAGGGCGCCACATCAGAGCAAAGAGCAGCATAAGGAAGAACACTTACGATCCTACTTAAGATCCTACTGTACTGAGTATTCCTCAGAGCCAGTCGTGAGAACCAATACTGATACCAGCACTACTCACCGTCTTCAACAAAGGCTGTCCTACTTGGGGACCAGAAACTGGATGGAGGGTTCAGCACTTCATGTGACTTAGAACTCGTTGACACTGGGCCTTTCCTAGATCGCATTTCAGTAGGCTCTTGGGTACCTAGAAAAGAAAGTATTATGAAAGATAAGGTTTATTTTTTAATTATCAAAAAAGTTTGTAGAATGTTCAACTGGAAGCTGAGAGTTTTGTACTCGGGATAAAAATTTCAGGAATGATAGTAATTCATAAATTATCATGGGTTTATGAGGGAGTGGGGGCAGGGATGGAGGATGGGAAAAAATATGAGCTGATACCAAGGGCTCAAGTAGAAAGAAAATGTTTTGAGAAGAATGATGGCAACAAATGTACAAATGTGCTTGACACAATGGATGGATGGATTGTGTTAAGAGTTGTACACGTCTCCAATAAAATGATTTTAAAAAGAACAAAAATTCAGGAATCACAGAATTACAGAGCTGTGTTGCTCTGATTGTTTAAAATATACTAATTGCTTTTAACAACTATCAGAGCAAGAGGTAGTTCTCTAGCCTGGAATCATTTACACACATAAGAGCAATGTTTTAAACTTTCACCACTCTGCTTGAGGAAAGAGGTGCCAGTCGTAGAGCTTCCGACAGTGAAGTGAGTCTATCTCTGGGGTCCTGGTTCTCTCATGCTGCTATACAACAGAAATACAAATAGATGGTTTTGACAAACAAACTTATTCTTTCACAACTTAGGAGGCTAAAAGTCCAAGTTCAGAGAGCCAGTTTTCAGGGGGAAAGTCCTGGTTTCCTGTCCACATTTGTGGGCCAGGTGTTCCTTAGCGGTCTTCAGGTGTTTTGGCTTCAGTATCCCGCTGGGTCTAGGAGATTTAGTCCAGGGTCTCCAGGCTCAAAGGACATACTTTGCTTTTAGCTATTCTTTCTTGGCTAGTTAGGTTTCCCACTCTGTGCTCACTTCTCTCTCCTTTTATTTCTTGTAAGATAAAAGCTGTTACATTCTACACCCCCAAGGAAATACACCTTATAGAGTTCAAGGCTGTTGCATCCCACCCTTAATTCTCTTGTTGGCTGATTACACCCTGGGGGACCACTACCTAACTGCCACAGTACATCACAACATAAATACTAAACCACCAAGAATCACGGCCCAGCCATGTGGACACAGTAGCTGGGTATGGGTGAGATATCTGAACCAGGAGTCTTGGCTAGTGTTACCAAGATTTACAGCCCAGAAATCGAGGCTTCTGTTAGTTGCCTGTGACTATGTATGACGGAGACATCAGATGTCTCAAATCCAAACATAAAAGGAGGCTGCCACGAGTCCATCAAACCCAAACACTTGAGACTGGCGTCTCGATCATCCTTTTCTCCTAATCACATTTCTCTTAACCAGAGCCCTTTGCTCTCATTAACTTAGAATCTGAAAACATGTGATTCACCTCCTATGGTTGCCCCTTCCTACCCAGCACTGCCTTTCTGAAATCTCCTTCCCTTTCTTCCCTGATAATCCAACGGGCTGATCCTTCAGAAAACATGCTTTGAGTTATTTACACTCAACTCTGACTGCCTGGTTACTCTGCTTAACTCAAAGGCAAACAAGGTCTTTGGTCTATACTGTCTAACTTGATTTTTGGACAAAACTCCTTGGAATCAAAGCATTCAAGGTGACCTTGGAGAAACTGGGGCTCAAAAAAGATAAGGGTCTGTCCAAAGTCACACAGCTACTAGCAGGGTCTGGATGAGCATGCAGGCAACTGGATTCCCAATTTAAAGTACTTCATTCCACTCTGGCTTTCTCATTCCACTTAAAAATTACAGACTTACTGTGGGCCGGATGTCTTCCTAAGTTTGGGGAAATTAAGATGAGTCATTTTACTGGCCATTTCATCCCGTCCCCTTTATTGATCCGCAGCCTCCAGAAGTAGATGTGCAAACTATGTGGACTGAAGTTTGTGTCTGACATTGATGGTGTTCCAAAAGTACTGGCTGAATCCCTGGAACTCGGCTTAACAGACAAACTGGAAAGCACCCTCCAGCAAGTGAATGGCAGAGAAATAGGCAGGCAGGCCACACTGCAGGAACCCAGAGCCTCTGAACCTGAGGTAGGTGGAGAAGCCTAGGTCTGGAAGGACTAGAGGGGCAAGAATCCAGCAGAGGGAGTCAGAGAGCAGCACAGAGGGGCAGGCCAGGGCATGGGGAGTTCAAAACTCCAGGTCTCCTGGGTATAAACAGCGGGCTGTTGGCAATGGGGTCTGAAGCTTCAGGGGGAATTGTCGCTGGGTGTGCAGATGTGGCTCCCGAGGCTTTTCTGTGTCTGAATTTCCAGAAGCAGACCACCAGGCATTCTTCCAAGGTGCTTCTGAGGGGGCTCCAACCTCCAACCTTAGCCACGAGCTCATTCAGTTTACATTTTATACAACCCAGGCTCGCCTGGGGCCCACCAAGCACACAACAGACTTGCACCCACTTATGTTCTTGGACTTCACTGCCCACGTGCCTGCCGCTCCAATCTGACTGTAGTTTCAATCATCAGGTTAAGTGGGTAATGGGGCATTCTATAATTTCAACTCTGATGCCTATCGGTCCTACCTTTAAATGTACCCAAGTGTATTTATTACATGGGAGAAAGATGAGGCGCTCTGCTCCTGGAAGACTGGCAGCCTCCAAACCCACAAGGTCAGAGTGGACTCAGTGGCAGGGAGCTGAGTTATACTTATTACACTTGGCAGTTGCAGGCTGAACAACCATCATTGCTATATATCTATTTTTAATCATTTTATTGGGGGCTTGTACAATTCTCATCACAATCCATACATCCATGTGTGTCAAGAACATGTGTAGCCATCATCATTCTCAAAACATTTGGTATCAGCTCATTTTTTCCCTCCCTCCCTCTCATCCCTCATGAACCCTTGATAATTTATAAATTATGCACATCTCCCTTCCCCCACTTTTCTGTTGTCCATCCCCCAGGGAGGTTATATGTAGGTCCTTATAATCGGTTCCCCCTTTCTACCCCACCCTCCTTACACCCTCCTGGTATCACCACTCACACCACTGGTCCTGAAGGGATCATCCGCCCTGGATTCCCTGTGTTTCCAGTTCCTACCTGTACCAGTGTACATTCTTTGGCTAGCCAGATTTGTAAGGTGGAATTGGGATCATGATAGTGGAGAGGGGGAAAGGAGGAAGCATTTAAAAACTAGAGGAAAGTTGTATGTTTCATCGTTGCTACACTGCACCCTGACTGGCTCGTCTCCTCCCTGCGACCCTTCTGTAAGGAGATGTGACATCATTGCTATTTAAGTTCCAACTACTCACCATTACTTCTCAGAGAAAAGGTGTGTGCTGTATCCCCAAGCCTAATGATCTCACCGGTGGACTCGGCTTCATCTTCATCCCAAGAAGGCTCCACAGCCTCCAATGACGGGGAGCACCTGGAAGAGTTCATTCACTTAGCCCGATCACCTGGAGCCTGGCCTTACTGTGTAAAAAGGAGTCAGACTGCGTGCGGCCTGTCACTTGTGCCGCCTGTTGGGTTTTGGCTGATAGGTGAATGGTGCAAATGGCTGCGAACCAAGGGCACGCAGAGAACACAAGCAGACAAAGGCAAGGCCTGGTTACTCCGCGGGCCTGGGAGGAGAGGAGCAAGGCAGGCTGAGGGGAGGCGGACCATTTGTTCTGCATTACATACTCTTGGTTATTTCACTTTGGCACTTATTTTGTTAATTTTTAAGACTTATTAATAAAAAATGAAGTCAGAGCTGCATCCTAGAATGGTCTCCTTTGAGACATTTTCCTAACAAAGCACTATACCTTAAAAAAAAGGGGGGGGAGCCCTGATGGCATGATGGTTATGTCAGCAATTCGAAACCAGCAGCCCTCAGAGAGAAAGATGAGGCTCTCTACTCTCATAAGAGCGAGTTTTAGAAACCCAACAGAGTAGTTCTCCTACAGGGAACAAGCGCAACGGCAGTGAGTGACCCGAACACCAGTGGCCCTGCCTGTCCTTTTCAAACAGTGACCTGCTTCATAAGGCGACCGAGACTCGGATGTAAGGTGGCCGGAGCATCATGGTGACCTGTGTTTGGCAAAGACGGATGCATCAAACCAGTAGAGGCATGACATTTTTGACTATGGAAGCAACACTGATCTGAAAACTCTGATATTGGTCAGGAAAGGGCAGAGTCATCTGGCACTTTTGTACTGTAGTGGGTATAGAGAGAGGACTGCCCTTTTGGGAAGCAATTTGGCAACTTAAAAAAAAATCATTTTATTGTAGGCTCTAACAGCTCATAACAATCCATACATCAATTGTATCAAACACATTTGCACATATGTTGATGTCATCATTTCCAAAACATTTTCTTTCTACGTGAGTGGCAACTTTTATTAATAGCTTTACAACGTTCATCCTCCTTGCTTCTGAATCTAGCCTACACACTGGAAGAAAATGAAGAAATTTGTCACATATTAAACATGACATATTAAGAATAAACAAAAAATAAAGAACAACAAACTCCAGAGGAATGATTATAAAAGATGTGCCTATGTGAATGATGTGTTAAACAGAGATTATATGATGCTCCCATGTGAATGCCATGTTACAGTGATTAAAAACAATTAGCAGGGAGGTGGGGTAAGGAGCTGATGCCAGGGGTTCAAATAGAAAGAAAATGTTTTGAAAAAGATAACACATGTACAGATGTGTTTGACACAATGGATATATGTATGGATTGTGATAAGAGCTGTTAAGAGCCCCCAATTAAAAAAATGTGGGGGGAAAAACACCCCAAAACAATTATCAACAATTTAACAACTTGGAAAAAACCCCGATGTGTTAAAAAAATTAAATGCAGGAAACAAGGTTATATGGACAATCTGACTGAATCCAAAATGGGAAAAAAACATAGTTCAAAATGATGAAAAATCAAAATGTTACTAGCAGTTACTTTGTTTTGAATGGTACCTCCTTTCCCCACCCCCGCTTCTCTCTGCTGAGGTTTTCTGTTAGGAATATGAAATACTTTGGTAGAGGGAAGAGTGAAACAATAAGTGGTGGTCAATGCTGAAAATTAAGTAAGTATTATACAGTATAAGGATCCCTGGTGGCATAGTGGTTCTGCATTGGGCTGCTAACCCCAAGGTCAGCAGTTTGAAACCACCACCACCACAGGAGAAAGATGAAGCTTTCTACTCCCATAAAGAGTTACAGCCTAAGAAACTCAAAGGGGCAGCTCGACCCTGTCCTTTAGGGAGGGTCACTATGAGTTGGAATTGGGGCACTGGCAGTGATAGCTCAAATGCCTTAAAAGTTCCTCAGGAAGGTTTTAAATCTGAGCAGTTAGGAAACATTCCGCTGTAGCTTTGTGTTTTTAAAACCGCTATTCTGGCATGTTGTGGGCAGTTTGACATCGTAGCAGAACGCCCTGGATCGCTGGTTCCCTTCAGCTCCCGGCCGCCAGGTGCTACCTCCCAGGGGCCGCTCTTCTCCTTGCTCCCGACGAGCCTTTCACCCCCGCCAGAGGCCCTCCTTGGTGTGAGTCCCGAAAATGCGGCTCCGGCTCACCTGTTTACAATAAATCAAAACAGCACCTCAAGTCAGTATGACTATTTGTAGAGGAGGTGGGGAGAGGTGTATTAGTGAGGCCCCTCCAGCCCTGCCTAGCCAATGGGGTTCTTATGAAAATGAAACGCGAGCCATACGATCATCTGTAATGAGCATGTATGTCTTGGATCACAAAGAAGTAGCACAGCTGTTGCTTCAAAAGCAGGGTCCTCGACTGCATCAGCAATGCTGTTTTCTCAGCTGTTCGGTTCAGTTCTACCTCTAGCTGAGCGGGACATATGAGGCAATTGATTCAGATGACAGGAGGTGGCTTCAGAAAAACGTCATTGTCGTTGCCTTATCTTAAGCTCCGAGGCAGCATGCCTTAACCTAAGCGTCAGAGCTTGGAGAACATTTTCCTAAAAACCAGTAGTCTCAAACTTTTCAGCCCCAACATAGCCAAGGGGTAGATCCCCTCAGGGACAGTGGTAGGAGGGCATTGATTTCAAGTAAGAGGGGACACCTACTTGATTCAGACTCGTCCTCTGGATATTCCCACCCCATTTCATGCCCCTGCACCGCCCCATTTCTGAATTTGCCAAGCGACATTCTAATAACATCTAGTTAGCATTTACAGTGAACTGGGCTCAGAACTCAACTATTTACATGTGGACTTGTTTAACCTTCACAACCACCACGAAAGGGTTTCAGGGACGAAACGGAGGCTCAGAGCATGTCAGTGGCACAGTGAAGGCAAGAGCTGGCGCTGCACCAACAGCCTGCCTGCAGAACCCTTGTCCTTCAGTGGTATGTGCTGCTGCCACCGGTGCAGCGACCAGGTCGGAGCTGTCCTGCACAGCTGATCTGACACGTGACAGTAGAGCTTTCTTTCCCACCACTGTTAGCTAGCACTTAGAAGTTGCTCAGCTCTAGGTAATACTGTCCCATCAAAAGGCTGAACCCACAAGGGTAGAATCAGACTGTGGAAAAAGTTGCTCATACTGTCATTTAGGGAGGGCCATCGGAGTCACTCCCTCAGCTCACAACCAATCAACGCTTTGCCCCAGGCAAGCACGCA